CACTGTTCTTCAAAGGAAAAGTACATGCACCTTTCATATGGAGGCTTCGATAGGAAAAACCGGATTGTTGCCGATCGCAATCTCTAGCAGTTATTCTATCATCAAAACCCTCATTCTAATGCAAACTCATTCCATTACGTTCTAAACTTATTTCTTTAATTAGCATCACTGCACTTGATATGGGATAAATGGAGACTTTTCGATGTTTTAAGCTCCAACAAAAGCTGGTATTTAAAATATTATTCATAAATTATTTTAACTATCAGACGTCAGTCTAAACTATTTAGTGATTCATCCTTGAGCCACCATTTCACAATTTTACAAGAATCATCTCGTCTAATTTTTCAAAGAGATGAAATGGTAGGATGTAGACATGGAAAGAGGATCTGATATAAGAGCTCATTATCAGAAGGTTCGATCAATTAAATTAATCTGACCCTAGCTTATATTCTCAAATGCTTTATTTAAAGAATGAAAGATTTGTCAATCACATTATTCCAACTTTTTCATCGGCAAGATTGACAATAAGTAGTTGAAGAGGCAAATGAAAAGCAAATGTAAGCAATACTTTTAAACCAGTGAGTCTGTAAAATATTTCTAGGCAAAATATTGCACATTCGCTATCTTTTCAATGCCTATAAAATCCTTAGGTTTTTCAATTAAAAAAACTGAGATTTAATTTCTCAGAATAAGAGTAACTTGCTAGTAAAAAAAGGCTATAAATAAGGAAGTCAAATAAATTGGAAAATGCATTTCTTTTTAAATCTTACCATATACATATATGTATAATTGTGCTTTTTAGATGCAAACTCTTAAAATTTATGTTTAAAGAAGAAAGTGAATTTCTGGATTGTCCAATAAATAAATAAGAAATTGCTATTTGTTAAGATACCTATTTATTTATGCAATAATTCGAAAATTTTCAAATCTGAATTATAAAAGTTGGGGAGCAGTTTCTGAGGGAAATTGATAGATGAAGATATTTTTTTTAATTCTATTCGAGACGAATTCCTCATTGCCAATGGAATTACAAGAAGATTGATTCAATGAGAATAATAAATAAAATATGTTCACACGATCCATCCATTTTTGTTGCGAACCTATCCAAATATAAATTCATTGATTCATAAATAATGCTGATAAGCATTGAGAATTAAAATATGCACCATTGCACTAAAGCTGATAGCATTACTGATAATACGAACTGATATCATTTAATGTATGGTAGCAATTGTGGCAATAAGAGAATCACAATAATAAAAATTCAATATTCATTGGTTAGGAATAATGAGCCTAAGTGAACGGATGGAAAACAACTTTCTTCAATTTGGATCTCTCATTAAAAAAATCTAATGCCACTGGTGCCGAACTTCAAAACATCGCATTTGTAAACTATCATTAGCACTTACATTTATAACCAAACGAATTCAACTGCATTCACCTTCTACTACGCAGGCTATGAATTGAATGATAGCATGATGAGCTGCCAATGCATTGCTTCACCTCACTTCATGATATTATTCATTTCATATGTTCTAATTGTAAACAAATCAAAAATAATACCCATTGACACATTAATTATTCCATCAATACACTAATTATTCTTTAAAATCATATCAGCGTATAAACAAAAATTTGCAACATTGATATTAAATTTACAATGATAATAACAAAGAAAAGATCTTAGTTAAGAAGGCTTATTGTTGTAATTACAACGTAAAGGAATTCGCGTTGAATAACCGAACAATCATGTCAAGAAATCTTTTTTTACAAAGAGAAATTATATGATGATGAGAAAAAACAGAAATAATGCAATAAAATTTAGAAAATTTTCAACAACAAGTAAAACCCTGCTGAGTTGCAATTAATAAAATACTTGTCATTGGCAATCTTTTCATGTTTGCAAACTGTAGAGATACAATTCTAGAAGTAGAAAAATGAGAATAAGATAATCAAATAAATTAATGTGTATTGATTGACATAGTGAAAAATTAATACTAAATAATCAACAAATATAAATAACAGTGTTATCACTGCAACGCTCTTAATAAAAATAAAGCCAGAATGTCCAGCGATACAGAGATCTTGATTTAAAAGAAGGAAAATTTTGCAGAATCATTCATTAATGGATTGCAAATAAGTTAGAAGACAAACTTGACTTATCAACTAGAAATACTATGATAATGACTGTGATCATGTAAGAAATTAATAGTGCAAATTCTCTATAGGTCAAAATGATTCATAAACGGATTATAAAATAGAAAAATCAGAGAATTCTTAGCAAGAAAGCTAGTCTAGAAAGGACTTCTCCATGTTGAAGGAATTAAGTGCAACCGTTATGCAACAAGAGAAGATCTGAAGAGCAAATCATGATAGCTGTGCACTGATAATACTGTAAGTAAACTGACGATTTCTTTCCAAATCCTAGAAATTTCATCTTTATTTCCTTTTTCTACTTTATGAACTTTAACATAGCTTACTTCAGATATTTTAATGTTCGTATATTGTTATCCCTCAATTAGATTTTTGCTTTTAATCAACCTCATATATTGAACCTACCTCATATATTTCATTTGTAAAGTTCTGTGAAATATTTGCGTCAAATCTGATGTCTTGACTTAAAAAAATCTCATTTGAGATGAATTAACATATTATTAGTTTCTCATCGTACGCTTTCATTTACTTCTACTCCAACATATTAAGGATAGGAACTCATCAAAACACGTTGCACTGACAATATTTTTAAACAATAATGCGGACGTAAACCTATCAGCAACCTATGCAAATTTGCAAGAGCTTTATAGACTTCTACATTATTTTTGTGGTAGTTTTAGGAATATAGAGAAACAAATATTGAAAGCAAATACTGCGCCTAATAATGGAAGCTTTCGAGGAAAAATGTTTAACTTTTAGTTTGTGAAATTGACAATAGTGATTTCAAATTAAAATAATTGTTATTCTGTAAAAATAAAAATTTTCATTTAATACCGTTTATAAACATTAACTTTGCATCACGTTAAATCAATATTGTGATCAGTCGATCACAATATTATTATGCTATACAAACTGGAATAGAAAACAGTAAATGTATAACCTAAAAAATATGCTTTTGAAGATCAAACAATATGGAAAAATAATGCTTAGTTTCAGCCCCTTTTCAGATCTCATAATAATTTGCAGCAACTCTAGTTAATAGAAATCATTTCAACTAGCTGAACCATCACTGCAGATTTCATGAGAAAAAAACAGCACTAGCATTACTTCGAACAATGTAATTAATTTCTTAATTAACAATGTAATTAAATTAATTTCTTTACATTAATTTAACATGTGGTGGCATTTTCATTAACTCACCTTTTCGTACCATTCCTTTTTCACCAAATTAAAATTAATATGTTAAGAGTTATTGCTTCACACTATAACAACAAACCTCTATTCATAAAATTTTCTTTCTTGTTCTTTTTTTGAGGGTGTGAATAATATACATATTTTCTAGCGTATGTCCGAAACAACAGAAGATTGAATCCATTGGCAGCTAAGAGTAGTGAATTACTGAAAATAAATATCAAAATGAAATCATGTAAAAAATGGGAAACTACTTTTGCAATACAGCAGAAATAAAAGTTGATTGTAATTCGATAAGGGAAATAGTTCAAGTTTCAAGTTATTATGTCTCACTCCACATTTTATCGAAATCTATTTTAATACCTGGAGCAATGGAAATCATCAAGCAAAGCAGCCAACATTAAAATTGCACTTGCGGAGTTTTAAATGCTCCTGATTAAATGCCAAATATGTCTCAGCACTCCAACACTAAATGAATCATTTAATGGCCGGCTAGCTAAGTTACCGATAGCTTGGACTAACATCTTTTTTTGAACATCCAGAAAATTTTGGAGCACACCTTGAGCTGCTACTAAACAGACAGTATGAACAATCCTCTACCAACATTCCTGATGTATTTGCTGAGAAGCACTAGTTATCCGAATTTAGTTACTTCAAATCATTCACTTATCGCATCAAAATATTACCAACTCGATTCGAATGACTACTCCACCAATAACAATGGCTTATACCCATCCTCCGCATATTATTATTATTAATCCGTTCGTGCTCTTTCTATCTTGAATGTAGTATTCACTCAGTTGCCCCCAACTTTCCTTATCATATCATCAATGAATAATTGAAAATTCTCATTAATCTACCACATTCAGAATTCTTCAGGTGAAATACAATCACTGGATGCTCTCGAATGTGATACACTTCACAATAAAATAACTCATTAGAAGCGATGCAACAGTTGACAATAAAATATTATGGAAGAGATAGCGAAACCAGACAACTGGAGCTAACTATTATTACAGTGTTAATATTATCGCAACATTCGCTCCATTCATTTTATAAATAACTTTGATAAATCTTCGCACTTCTCAACAGTTTTCAACGCTTATGAAGAACAAACATTGATATGGTTGTATTTTGGAGGTCTGTTCTTTATATCAAACCTTTCTTCAGAATATTTAGAGATCACTTGCACGAGAAAAAGTTCTCATATCAAAACTTTCATAAAATGTGATTTAAAAATTGAATTCCCATCCATTCAGCTTTGCAATGAGAAATAAAAACAAAGCATGACGGACCATATATCACATCATCATACCATTTTTAATTTCCCTAGCCGTTCAAATGAAATTTTGATGCATCTTTCGACAAATTATTGCTTACAGATTATAATACGGTTCAACAAAGAAGGTTATAATTGTTATATTCATTTAAAGCAAGCATTATTTCAAAACAAAACTAACATTTTTAAAAATAGAAAAAACTTAGCTCATAAAGAACTGCGAAAAATGAGACTTCATAGAAAATTTTGAATTTTGACAATAACTTTGAAAAGGTTTCATGGTTATTAAATTTAAAATTTATACGCGTAATAACATAAAACTTGAAAAAGCTCACATGAAAGAATAAACATATAGATAATCTAAAAATGGTACGCATTAGTTCTTATATTTCCCGGCAAGAGACAACGATTTCCTTGCCATTTCTACAACACCTTGCATTGATTTATTGCCTCCGATAAAACCAGTTGGATGAACGAAGATGCAGCCAGGTATATCCGCTACCTTTGTCAATTCTGCATCACGAAGACCACGCCATGTCTCTGGTAAGAGCAACCTGGAAAACCGAAACTTCAAAAATTAGCACAAAGAATTCTACATGGACTATTTAAGAAAGATAGTGTAATACACCTAATAAAATCTAACTTATAAGATATCCCAGAATTATTTCGCACGAAACTATTACATGTAGTTTAAGAACGTATATATGTAGCTCAAGAACATGCATATATTCATGAAAAATGGTTAAGAACTTTATGATGGATACAATATGAAAAATTTAGGAAATCCAAAAAAATATGAAAAAAAAAACTGGACGGGAACCTGCTTTCAAAGGGCTGCCTTTGGCTTATCGGAATAGCTTGCACTCTCCATTGAGCACTTGTATTATCTTCGTAAATAACATATACAACATCGTCGTTTTTTAAATGAAGTTCTCTTTCTACGAGAAAAAAATGATCTTTCCACGGCATTCCACCACTTTTTAGGCAAAATATTTGACCACTTTTGTCAATCTGCAAAGTATGAGAGAGTAGTCGAACAAGCAATAATGTAAATTATAAGAAGGAAGTAATTGGTTAAAGATAAACGCGCTGATTCGCAACCATAGACAAAGCCCTGAGTACTATAAAAATAGTGTATAAAAACTAAAATATGAAAGAAATATTTTAAATTGAAATTTGAATTCAACTGGTAGGTAGATAGCAAGATGACTATTTTATTTCCCGAATGCAATTCAAATTCTAATGTGATGAAAAATCTACATTGGCAATCAGCAAATAAAAGATAGAGTAGTCACTGTAACAATAAAAAATAAAATATAACAAACGTCAAAACGATGAGTGACTGCGCTCACAACGTGATTACGCGCTGGTAACCAGGATTTACAGAGATAACTGAGGAGCTCATTGAATTCCTTGCCGACCAGTTTGATTGCCATCATAAACCTACAACGAAAAAGTTCATTAAAATAATTTAAAATGAACTAAAAGAAGTTCTCAAATGCTCAGTTTAAAGCAAATTTTTGCAAAAGAGTTGTGGAAAATTGCCTTTCATTGACATTGATTGTATTTTCATTCCATGCAGGATTTAACATTGAAACTCGAGACGAGAGCGTACCACCCAAATAATATCTAAATTTAAATGAAGTGAATTGTCAAAAATAGGCTGAATAGTCTTTTTATAAGCAATAATTAGTCGTTCTGCAACAATTAAATTCAGATTGGTATCTCTATCTCTCTACTGATGCCGCTCTTCCATACTCAGAAAACGTAATGGGCATTCTATTACTAATCAAAAAAAAATTTTTCCAGAATTAATGCTGACCATTAAATAGTTTACAAATAAACCTTGGTTCGCCATCAAACTGAGCAATTCCATTGTCTATTGCATCGATAGATTCCACGAATGTTTCATAGACTTTTTCGAATAAAATGTCAATCATGAAATCATTGTCCGGTAATCCAAGTAACGTGCTAATAACGCTCTTCCCATAGTGGGCATAAATAAGACCCGCTGAACTTAATTTCGTATCAAAGTTCATTACTCGCAATGTGTTCATTGTATGAGTAAAGTCCCTACAAAAATTATTTCTTTATTATAAATAAATCTCCTGAAACTCATAGACGCACCAATCTCCTCCAAGAAACTATAAGATTATCATGCCATTAATGTCACGTGCAATCTAACTGAATAGCTATATCATAAAAAATTTTTCTCAAAATTTTTTGGATTGAAGAAAGGTAAAAAGAAGGATTAAAGAACAAGAACGCAAAAACTTATTGAAATTAAGTTCCGACAGATAATATGTGCAATAAGTTAGATTTTTTTGTAGGAAATCACTCATCATATTGCTCACAACAGACACAAACAGGCAGAAAACTGAAACGTTAGTTTTACTTTCAAATATTGACTTATAATAACTCTCAGAACACCTAATATACTTCACTATTGGTCAACAACACTCAATAATTTGCGATGTAATTAAAAAGTATTAAATTAAAAAAAGCAGAAACAACCTTTGATGATGATCATACTTCATTGCGGCATGGTTATACTCACCACCGACATCAACCACAATATTACATAAGTTCAACACGTCCTTATCACGACTTCTGTAAAGCACCCATAAACTTTTCTAACTGAATTGAAATCAGCGTGTAAATCTCATTAATTGTCGAGTGACTGTTTGCAGCAAACAAACGAAAAAGAATTGAAGTAGAATTAAAACCAAAACTGGTCAAATAATTAGACTATTGGACTTATGAAAGTAAAGTAATAGAATAGCAAATAAAAGTTATGAAGCAGATTTAAAAAATAAGCCTAAATTCACATCAAAACATAACTGCAACAAAGTATTACTCGGTGCTGAAAAAAGTTCTATCAAAAAGTGGTTTCTATTGGAAAAATTGAACAAATATTAACAATTATCAAAAATTTTGTGGTCCAGTAGGATTAAAAAATTATAATTATGCCCATCTAAATTAAAGGAAAATGAGTAATGAAACTTGTTAAACGTGCTTAAAATGAAAAAGTCAAAAATAATGCATACCGCACAATCTCATAGTTACTGTATTTTGGAAGTGATTTTAGCAAGAAGATTGCAAAGGCCTGAAAATAGTTCAGCATTTTAATATCCCACGCACTGAAATGATTAATTGATTATGCCTATACTGAAATATAGATCACGTCCAATGAATTTTCTCGCCCATACCGAATCATTCACATCTATCCACAATTTAATGCCAACAACATTTACACATCCTGCTGATGACTTACCTACATATTACTTAAAGCTGACTATATGTAGACAATAGGAATAGATAATAGGCTATAGTTTCTTCCCGAAACGAAATCACGCTAACTTCTAACTTCTAAAAAAATTATCTTCTCTACTATTTGATATGAAATAAAAATTAAACAATAAGTGATTACCTCATCGCAGTGGAATTTCCCATCGTGAGTACCAATTTTAGGCATTGCGAAATGTTTGGAATGACAATTTGCAGCTCGAGCCAATAGGAATAGTCGATGTATAGATAATTCTACTGGCATAAAAGAGATCATATATTCATCTAATGCTTATGAAGCAATCCGTAATTGCAACATCGAAACAGCTAAAGATAATTAGTCTATGTTTTTTTTTTTTCAATTTCTTATCAGTTGAAATTTTCTTCACTCCTTGAGTAAATATATAAATTCTGGATCTCACATGAGGGAATTCTCTTTCTTCTTTAAACATATTTCTCAATTTTTATTGCAGATTACCACTTCATTGCTATATTTTGGAAAACTTTTTATCTTCAGGTTTGTCGTATATCAATTAATTTTCAAAGTACATTGTACGTAATTTCACTGCTTTTTCTTTCTGACTAAGAATCTCTTCATTTGAAAATCGGAATATGGCAATAATTTAAAAAATTGATACTGAGTCAGGTTCACAGAGGTGAATTTGGAAATGTGAGTCTAAGTTGTGCGTAGCTAGCTTAGACTCACATCTCCAAAATTTCATCGTGGAAATCCTCGAAGCACCATTATCAAGCGGGTGTGGAAATGTTATAAGCGCTAACAGCTTCTTTTAACAGTATGCTCCTGCTACCAGCTTAAAAGTTCCCTCTAAGATAGAAGAAATACCCCATCATACCTTAGATGGATATTTCTTTGAGATGATATGCGATGCTCATAGAACACGAAGTTAGTTTACTGATATGGAACACTCACAGACACATACTAAAAACGCAGTGCCTAGTAAGTCAACATTGTTCGCACGTGACCACAAGATAACCAAGGAAATCACCAAGTCAGATACACGGTTACGTTCTCTCCCACATATGTAAGCCATATGCAGCATTTAGTAATTTTGAGGTAGGATAATAAGTTGCATAACGTGTCAACGATCGATTGCTACATTTGGGAGTTTGCCAGGTGGCGTAGTGTTTCCGTGGTGCGCGGTTTGGAGTCCTCGTTGTAGGATAGCGTAATTGTACATATACGGGAGGGGAAAAGGGGAGGAAGAAGGATTTCTCAGAAATGCGTAGGCAGGCTTGCTTTCATGCATGCCTTCCTTTTCCACATTTGTTTCGCATGCCTTCCACTTCCGCATTTGTTTCGCATGCCTTCCTTTCCCGCATTTGTTGCATTTGCATTACTTTGAATTTGGGTTGAAAATTTAAGTTTTAATCGACGGTGCTATGTATCCTTTGAACGGGACATATTATAAATGAAAGTATCATCAGTTTTATTTATTTCGACTGTACTTCCCGCAGACACATAGTCTAAGTCGTCTGGCAAGTTGTCTTCACTCACATTTGATGCCACTAAGATGATGAATGAAACTTTCGCCAATGTCATTTGGCTATTTTTTATGCTTGTGTCTTCTTAAATAGATCTCTGATTGAAGATGAGAAAATATGATTAAGACTGAAGGGAATGTTGAATTATAATCGATTATTTATTACTAGTAAACTTATATCCCAAAAATGATCGCAGGGTCTTTCGTTATGATTAATCTCTTTCCAGAATAAGAGCTGTATTGGCGAATTCGCTATAAGATGGCTGATATCTTAGATCAGCCAGACAATGATCTTGATTTATATGGAGATGGTGAGCTTGACACTCGCTTCAGTGAACGTGATGTGCTGGGTGATGACGATGACGATATTACTAAGTGAGCTAATCATTTTTTCACGATCATTTATCAGGAATATATACTGGTATTCTTCATGGAATTTTTTTTGCTGGTTATGCTTGAACCATTTACTACTTGTCCGCTTGACGATATAATCACATTTGCCTTGCATATTGTATAGATTTACATACCGCACTGAAAAGCATGTACCACAGTTGAGTTCTATAGTTACTTTTCCGTCCAACATTTCATCAGGCAAAACAAAAAATTATGTTAAGGGATGGACAAGAGAGTCACGCATCGAAAAATGGTGATACTGCAAATGAAGCAAAAGTAGTGAAATCTGAAGTGAATGATACAGATTTATATGACGCTGCAATTGAACCATCTGGGCAGATTGTGAAAGCAGAATCACTACCCGTAAAATCTAGCATTACAACTACTCCACAAGGAAATCAAACAAAGGCTCTTCCAGCACTCGGTGTAAATCAAAACAACACTGGTCGAAGATACTGTTGTTATATAGGTAGTTTGTTCCAAATTTTAACGAGTAGTCAAGCGAGAATTTGCTCACTCTTTCCATCAACTGTTTCACATTTTAGCACATAACAAATAAAATTGATTTCTAATTAAACGCACGTGCTTGATATACGTTTGCTGATTAGTGTTAATTGGGTGCTTGTTTATAAGGTGTATTGCCAGAGATTACGTATAAACGCAATTCAGTGTGAACTTGGATGGACTCAAAAAGTAGAAATAGGATTAGAAAATTGTACAAATGAAGTAGAAATAATAAGATTTGAAAGTTGATGCTTTTTGTATAAAATTGATACGTAGTCAGATGGATTTCTTTACGTTCATATGTGATTGAGTGTGCCTGCGCTGAACTTATCGCTTTGTTATCCACAGGTAACATGACGTGGTGGACAACTGATGTTGATTTGCAAACGATCATATTATCTTGTGGTGCTACGAATTTAATCGACATCAAATTTTATGAAAATCGAAATAATGGTCAAAGTAAAGGTTTTGCATTAGCAGTTTTCACTGCTGAAAGTTCAGTCAAAACGGTTATGGAAAAATTGCCACAAAAAACGCTTCACGGACAACAGCTTGTCGTTCTCCCATACACAAAAGCATCGCTGGCAAAATTTGAAGATGCCACCAGACGAGTCGATCAAGTATAGATATTTGTCCAGCATATATAACTTTCAGTTTCATTTTGGTGAGTTTACTTTAAGAAGTCTTCCCATACTTTTCAGAGAAATGACAAAAAGGATACCAAGAAGGACGACCAAAAAACACCATTTGTTGGTACAATTCGTATCGGTATGCCACCGCAGCAGCCATTACAACCTGGACAAATGACTATACCACCACCCGTACCATTGCGACCACAGGTTCAGGTAATGTTAAGGACAGCTACCAGTTCTATCCCAAAGTAAGTTTTTAGGGTTCTATTGATGTTATCGTTTCAGGTTCCCCCACCAATGCCATCACTGCGCCCACCGGCTCAAGTTGCACTAATATTACCACCTAATCAGCAGCCTCCGCAATTGCGTGGTCCTCCACCAACCTCACAGCCTCTTCCGCTTGGTGCACTTAGTGTAACACGACCACCGGTCAACTTAAGTGCTCCACCGCCAAACATACCGCAAGTTCAGTTATCAGGTAAGCGATATTCTTATAAAATCCAATATTCAGCCAGTTGTAAGTGTAGTCGATCCAATATATTTAGCAATTATTAGCTTTCGGTTAGTTCGTTCACCTTCATTGTTTTTTCAGCAGGAGCACCGCCACCGGGTGCCCCACCAATGAATCGACCACCTCCTGGTTTTGGTCAACCACCTCAAGCTTTGCCACCAATGTCATCAGCGGGACCAGCGGGTCCATCAAGTACTTCACAGTCAGTAACAGGAATGGCTCCGCCTGGCGGTCCACCCACGTCGCACCCTCCTCCTTCCTTTCCTCCGCCAGGTGCCCACATTAATCCGCAAGTGTATCGTCAGAATTACGGAGGAGGTATTTATTTTTTTATTAATTAAGTTTTAACAAGAACTTAGAAATTATTGAAAAAGACATAACAATAAGTTTTAATTAATACAATTGAAGATGATAGTCGTGCATTTTTTAATTAAAAAAATTACAGGACCAGCGGCAGTTCCTTGTAGCATCGAAGGAATGTCGGAAGCTGAATTTGAAGAAATAATGAGTCGTAATCGCACTGTTTCGTCGTCAGCTATAACGCGTGCTGTAAGTGATGCTGCCGCCAATGACTATGCATCCGCCATTGAAACATTGGTCACTGCAATATCTCTTATTCGACAAAGTCGTGTCGCCAACGATGATCGGTGCAAAGTCCTCATTTCTTCATTGCAGGTTTTATTTAATCTTTTTCAAAGTTTTGTTGTTATCAAAGGTTTTATATCTGTAATTGGCATGTGGCGCATCGAAAGAGATTTCAGGACACTCTGAGTGGCATAGAGAGTAAATCATACAATTCATCTTCACGTAAGCACCGATCAAATCGCGATCGTTCGCGTTCGCCATCTGAACGGTCGCGTAAGCGACATCGTCGTTCATCCAGAAGTCGATCCCGTTCCCGAGAACGTTATGATTACTCTCCACGACATTCCTCTTCATCAGGTCGACGTGCATATTAATTATTGAGCGTCATCATACTCATGTTCAGTAAATAAGAGCAAATTATGTTTTCCTTTCTTTAAATGATCGAATTTTCGCCTCTTCATGTTATCATATGTATTTTTCATTTCATTCATTTTTTGCAACTGTGGCACACTGCTCTATCAAGATGTTTTGTGCATTCTCCTGGAGTCGACTTGGCACTTTATCAGGTATGTTCCCTTTAATTTTCTTGTTGTAATTTCTGAATTACACGTCATGATTTCTTTGATAGTTATCAGGTTAATTTACGAAATTTCTCAAATCGGTCATTTATGCGGAAACTCTGCTCATAATTGCTCAATTTCTTTGAAGGACATTAAATTAACTTGTTTTATGAATCTAGAACTTGGATTTTCTTGCATTATGTTGGTTGCATAATCCTTTACGCTTTAAAGAAAAGCGTCAGTCTTAGTATAGAGGTTGTTGCATCCAAACAACATGAGGCGCTCATAATTTCGATTCTTTGATGTCAGATTTTCTTAGTTTTTTTTATTCATACTGCAACCTTTGTCATAAATTCAGTCCTACTTGCAATCTTTTCTTGGCTTGTAAGAATTTCATTGCTTAGTGATGGATCTTCAGTCTTTTCGAATTGTAATAAAGTTTGTTAATGGACCAATTTATAAATTTAAGGAATCACTTTAAATTTATTTTATAGGATCTTTTCTTAAGGGGTTAAATTGGTTTGCGAAATAGTTTTAATGCGTTGAATATGCTCTATATTTTATTTAATACATTCTTTGTAAAAGTCTTTGCAATGATGTCTTTGCCAACGTTACTCCGTCATTTTTATTCTATTTTGATGTGCGTGAAAGATGTGTAAGTGGAATAAGGTTTCACTGTGGCGGGCCCAAGTTGTGTTGCGTTATGGCTTTTGTATACTTATCAGTACCAATTAACAGTCGTATCTTCATCTTCTTACTTCACTTTAAGTTGTCTTAAATCTAGTAATTTAAATTAATTTGTTCCTTGTTTCCATTCAGTAATAGATTTCCATAATTTGTGGCTCACGCTTCTTGAAAAAATTGTTTTTATTTTATTTTCCTGATCTTGTCTTCCTGGGCAAGAAAATTAAGCAAATATTGTTATATATTGACATGAAACTTGTCCACCTTTTTTGTCTTTTTATTTTCTATATGTACTTTTTGCTTACTGTGCGAAATCTATTTGAATTTTTTAAAGAATCTCATTGTGTTTCTTGATTCCGTACTTCTTAATGAAAAAATTTTGCATGAAAGAATGAGCTTTGGGTTAAGTTGAAGCTTAGAAAAAGTTTTAACACCTTTAGCAGTGATTCCTATGCCGAAAGCTCTGTTCTGTCTGGAAATAAAGCGTGCTTTAATACGTCGAAATATATATTTCTTATCAAACATGAAATTTTCGAAAAAAGTTTCATCACAGAAGGTAGAGGTTATCACTGCTATAGAAAGATTGTTCCAAAAGTTGCTCTTTTTAGGCTTCTATAGATTGTGCATACATTATGAGAATCTTCATATTTCGAATTTCTTTTAACTAACTTAAAAGTATTTTGTCACGAAAGAAATGATGTCTTAGAATATTAGTCTCTTTTGTCTTTCTCTGTTTTAGTTTCCTTCAGAATTTGAAATATAATCGTAATGAATCTAGGTCCGATGTGCCTTGTTAATCCTGTTTTTCTGACTGCACAAGATTTTTTCCACAAATTGCAAGACACTTCATCTTTTTGTCGTATCATTTAAATACACTTTTGATTTCGTAATGAATTATTTTCGATATAGGCGTTATGAATGCGAATGATGTTGAAATGTTATGGATGGCAATCGGTTCCATTGTGCTTTCGCGATGGTGATATTGTTAATGGTATCGCATGGTCATGAGCCATAGATGATGGACGCAGTGCAACATTTTCAAATTTATGCTTTTCTTAAAACATAAACCCCTTTTCTCCTAAAAAATGTCGTTTGGTATTGTCATCGTAATGAAAACAGTTCTTATGCCTGTTGACTTTTCTTTCTTTTTAATAAATAAAAGTTTTTGCAAAACCAGGAATTGTGTTTTTATGAAGCATTTCAGCGCGTTAAATTGTATCTGGAGGTGAGCACTTTTTTGTTAATTTTGGTCGCAGTTGTTTTCTGTTTATTTTGTTTCTGTTTCCAGTCCGGAAATGTCACATAAAATTTTAATGTTACAAAATGCTATGCAGGTGATGAATTTTTCATAAGTTCAGTTGAGGCGTGCTTCATCAAGTTGTTTGTAGATTAATTTTGATGGCCTTAATGTATGGCAGTTTAATGATAGTCCTCGAGCGCGTTTTCTTTGCTTCCAATGAAACTTTTTGAGAAGTTTCTTCCTATTATTTGTAAATTTCAGACTTCTGGATCTTCCTGTGGAATAACCACTTATTGTCTTCTGGGAGTTTCAGGAAATACTGCTACCATTCCATTGTTTGAATTTTTTTTTCTGTAAAATTTGACCTTGGATGACTATTTAGAGTTGTATTAATTGTGCAACATATTTCAGATTGAAATCATTGGTCATTATAGCTATGCATCGAACGGATTATGCATCTTCATACGGGTATACTGTTCAAAATGTCCTTCGCTGCATTGTTCCGCTTGTTGTCTTTCGGCATTGATCTCAACAGCTTTGGAGCTGTCGACTGTTAAATATTTATTTTGCCTTCAATATTGTCAGTTATAATACATCGAAAAATTATGTGGTCGAGCTATTGATCAGCGCGTTGCAATCGATTTTGATAACTTGTAGATCTCTGCATTTTTAAATAAATAAAGTGAATTTTGCAGTGGTTTTGGCATGAATCTTTAGATACTGAAAAATGGTTCTCACGATTTTCACTTACTATGTTTATTTCTATGACCTTTTACACGTTAACATTTTGAATACTCACGATGTCTTTGTATTTAATTTCCTTCATCAACAAAAATGGTAACCGTTTTGCGCAAATATCTTTAGTTAGTGCGGTAAAAATATGATCTGCCGAGGTTAAGAATCAAACAGCTCAATATTTACCATACAGAGCTGCAAATGAAAGGCATCTGATATGAGCCCCTCATCGTAATCATACTTAAATTGTTTTTTCAAGTCGCGCTCTTTAAATATTCCTTCAGTAAATTTACCGTCCAGGCATGGTGTCCATGATTTTGTGATCAAATCCTGGGATTTCAGGTTTGGCACACTTGTTAGCTAAAACTGGCGTTCAGAAGTGAAATTTCTTAAAAGTAAAATAAATTTATTGCACGTAAAACAGTTCGCGCATAGGATCCGTACGTTTATTAGGAACCGATGACTGTAACCACTTATTTGTATGATTGACGAGAAGCTCTGCATTGTTTTACATATAATTGTAATTTGGTTTCAAAATTTCGGTAATAAGACTAGTGGAGTAGTGTGCGAGTAATGCAGCGGATAATGGAAGTGATATTAGAGAAGAATTTGTATAATTATACCTATATGGCTTGCCTGTCCATTCATCTATCTCTCTTCGAGTACATTTAAAACGCTATGGCTGCAATGAATCAAAAAGCCGCGAAAATAAGCTTTCGAAATGGCCTTGATATTGATGAGAATGCTCCTAATTCGGCCTATCAATCTTTGCACTTCACACATTCACCATTGTGCCATTCTCAAATTCCTTTTTTAACTTCCCATAATTCACTAATATTTAAATATAATAATTTTGAGTTCTTCCTCATACTATTTCAATACTGTCCGAAATTACTTCAATATTTTCCTTATAACAGACACTCAAACGTATTGTTAGTGGAACTAATAAGTCGGTATAAATCACATTTAAATAGGACGAATAAATAATAATGATAATATCATAAATTATCAGATATGAATCATCTCAACTGCTCTCCCATATGATTCAGTTTTCAAATTTCTTCATAGAAATAAGTTATTGCAAAGTTTGATTGAATGCTAAGATATATCACCAGACTAATAATTATCTTCAAATGTTTGAAATCAGGGGAAAAACTATTAAGGGAGTTTTTTCAGGAATAAAATAAAATATCTGAATGGACAAAAGAGAAAGAGAGAAAGAATGTTTGATTTGTGAATTTATGCATGAATTTGATTGAAATGCGTCCTATCATTAAAATGCATCATAAATCATATGGAAGACATGAAAGGAATTTAGAAAGTGTCATATTTTTATTGGAACTTTGATAAAATCGATGCTGAAAAGACTTATCCATTTGTGTTATCAAAGAAAAAGAAAAAGTATAGAAATAATAAATGTGGTAGCTGGAAGGAGTAAGGTTGTAAGATACGTGATCCGACATGATCAATGTGCTTTAGTATAAATAAAATTTGAAAAATGCTATTAGAATAATGAGAAATATTTTGTTATTGGTGGAACAATTCAATCTGATATATTTGGTAGAAAAATGTTAGTTTTTATTACAACCATTACTGTAGCAACTTATCACACTTTCCTATTTTCATTACATAATTGCTAAAAATTGAATATTATTGGAACAGTAATAGTGATAGTCAATAAAATGACTGATTTATTAAGGTAGCAAAGTTTGTTGGGTCATTCCATGTAAGCTAATTTATATCTTCTAATATTATAAAATTACAAATACCATTTATGAAATTATTTATCATTTCTATTATCTAATCTTGCACAGCAATTTTTTCCATTAGTTATTGTAAGTTTTCAGAAGTCAAATTAATTATCACATCATGCAACCAATCAAATGTTATCATTACATTACCAAAATAATATTTGATATTTGTGAAAAAGAACGAATATAATATCGGAGAATTTATTATTAATTATAGGTTAAATTTGGATATATAGTATAAATTCACGTCACACTCTTCATAGTACACAACCTGAAAATCAAAACTTGCACAATTATATTTTCAATAAGGATGAATTTTTCAGCAATCAAATAAGTCGTAATAGAAGGAACGAATCACCGTCCCATTTTTCGTTACTCCCGCGATTTCATTCTAATCAATACTGTTAGTGAAATACAAACTAACTGTTTAAATGGGCAGGATAGAATGAATGAATGAATGAATGACCATTCCTTGTCTCCAAATTCCTCACATTTCATCTTCCATCATTTTTGATTTTTTTCCACATCCTCTGTTCAACTTCTCTCAAAAGAAATAATCCGATAATCGTGCTATCGGTATTTGTTAAATTATAAAGGTTAATTATTTCATTGTTTTTTTACTCCATCTTTTCTCAAATTTGCTAATTAAATTTTATCAAATTTATTTTTATTTTAATTTTTTCAAAACTCTATTTCCTAAGTTCCATTTTTATTACTGAATGAATTCACTACTGATTGAATAATTATACCAAATGGATTTGCAACATAAACTTAGGAACACTTTTTTAATTCAAATTATTTTTTAAGTATGACTCAAAAAGTATGACTCATAAAATTCATCAAATTTTATGTGATTTTCATCATCACTGTTACATTATTATTTGGTTCGTTTAAAAAAATTTTTGATTAATTTTTGCAAACTTTGAAAACTTTGCTAACTAACATTCTGTGATATTTTCATTTTTCAAAAACATAAAATTTAAGAAATAATTTAAAAAGTTAAAGTAACCAATTTTAAAATTGTGTTTTTCAGTATTGCTATGGCAAATCAAAAATTAGCACTTTCAAATATTGTTTCATTGTTTAGAAAAAAACTATACAAAAATTCCATCGGATTTTGATAGTACCATAAAAGTCCTGAAATCCAGAAACCGAATTTAAATCTATTCAATTATTCATGATCATTAAATCGGATGTCTTATCAATAAACGGATTAGAATAATAAATGATGATTAACATTCTAATTTCTTTCGAATATTCATATTTAACTGTAATCGTAGTATTGGGACAGCTTTTTTTATTTCTTTAATTAAAGTTAATATTATTCTAATAAATGACAATTCTCATAGATGCAATCCAAATAGTTTGAATTTTGCATATATAAATTGTTCATAGAGCTATCTATACTGGACATTGCGCAGAATTTACTACAAAGCTGCAACATATATTGCGCCAGTGACCTTGTGTACCCGGCAGACATTGATTAATATTCACTGATCAATGGTATAGCGAAACTATGAGGTTTGTGTTTTCGAAATTTTTATCAAATCATTAAAATGCACATTTTATAAAATGGAATTTTTTTTATTGAAACGTTTGCTTTTTTATATTAACCAATACAGATTGGATAACGTGAATTACGTAGATCGGCTTATACAGTTTTTACGCATGGAAAGCATTTAAAATGCTTTTACAAAAGGTTTAAGACCTTTATAACTTTAGAAATTGAATTCTAATTAATATCCAATTTTACTATTCATTTAATTTCTTATTCATTGCCCTCCCACCCACAGATTGTACTTTAACGTTAACGCTTTTGCCAGCCAGCTTTTCATCCCACTTCGTTTATTCTTCAAAGTTTTTTGAGTAGAATTGTATATCTTTTAGATTAAAGAATCTTTGATAAATATTACAATTAATCTTTAGTCGCAAAATATTAAATTTAGGATAGAAGTGTATTATTTATGGCTTTAACTTAAATAGCTTCGATATTGAAGATAATGAAAGAGAAGATGAAAATAAGAACTGATCAAATCTAAAAGATTCAATATTTAATTTCCCGGTTGAATGGTACATAAGCTATGAGTTGGTGAATTGTTGAAAACTTTGAATGCAATGCTATCTGTCAAACATTCATATTAGTGCAGCTGCTCCGGGGAATCACCACCAGATGAACAGATAGTGTTAGTAGAAGAGTTCGAAACTGCTCAATTTTCAAATGCTTTTATTTTCTATGAAACTTTCCAATATTTTAAACTGACCAACGCATCTTTTTTTTGTCAATACTTTTTGACTCATGTTTTTCAATTATTTTTATGAAATTGAATTTGTAAGTTCCGAGATATCCGAGATATATGCATCTATTCGATGAGTAATTATTGATTTGCAATCTTTTCTAAACTAGCAATATAGAAGAAAAAGGTGAAAAGAGAGAGAAAGATTAGTGTATACGATAGATTGTTAGTTGAAAATGAAATCTTTCCTAAGCGATAGAAATAAAAAACATTCGATATTCTTTGACAAACAGACAGCTTTTCAACAATCTTTTAGATTCGTTTTCAACGTTCAACCAATGCATTCTCATTACTATTTTACTTGTTTTTCAATGATACGAAAGAATTTTTACTAATCAAAAAATTATTATTTAAATTAAAGAGCCAAAAAAGTGTAAAAGAAAAATTTGTTTAGGATTATATCTGTCAGATAGTTTTTAATTACCTAAATTATAAATTACCTGGATGATATTAAAGACTTAACTTTTGTGAAATGCAATATTGTTTGTTATCATTATGGCAAACGCTATATATTGAAATATCAACTTAAGTAGTTTAGAATAAACTTAAGTAGTTTAGAATGATACTAATGGTACCTTTACTCAAGAAGATTATCTTCGACAAAATAAAACTGTAAGAATGAGTAAGAAACAAGTCTAATACAGTAATTAAATCTCTGGTAACAATATTGATCGGTATTTACTGAAGAAAAGTTGATAGCTAGTATAACAAATTACTGTAACTTACCAACGATAATCGGATGAATTAAGAATAAATAAGTTTGATAAATGATAAAATAAAAATAATTCCTCAATTTCTGCAGATCGATATTACAGTAATTTACATACTCTTTAAAGCATCTTGATTGATGAATTAATAATTTGAGCAATTTCAATCCAAAGATACTGTCCAGAATTTTCAAACTTTGTAAGGGCCAGTATTGCAAAAAATGCTATCAATCAGTTATCAAAGAAATTTTGGAATAATAGTTATGCGGCAATCTTATGAATTATTCAGGATTCTAAATTCAATATCTTAGTGATATAAATCATTCATTATTAGACTAATAATTCGCATCGGTCTTTGATCTTAGAAGCTCTTTTGTTTTGTGAAAATTTTAATTTAAAATTTTTGCTATTCCCTCCAAAATCGTCTCTTTGATTAAAGTGAAGGTGCAAAAATCTTTTCAACATTTAGTTATTAATCAATGCATTCTCAAAATGTTACATAAATTCATTATTTTAAATAGTTAATAAATATACTCTTTTCGTCTTCCATATTTAATTCTTACTAAAATTCTAAAATAGCTGCAACTTTTAGGGACTTATCTTATTCATAGTAATGTTAGCTGATGTATTAAAGTGATAAGAGGATATCATAATACTGTTGTGACAAGATACTGTATAGAGAGAGAATGGGAAGAACAGTTATAAAACTGTAGCAAGTCATAATGCAAAAGTTATTATGTGAAATGTGCATGCCTTTCTGTTAATATAGCAATCAATGCCTTTCTCACTCAATTCGAAGAGACGAAATTTCATATGAGAATCATTTGATTTGATCTAATCAAATTACAATTAGCATTTTATCCGATTGCAAAGAGGATGAAGTAATATAACCCAACCAATAGTTATTTTTTTTCTTAGGTTCAGAAAGTTTAATAGTAATTGAATAGTCATAAGAGGTGATTAATTTTTCAGTTCGCTAAACCGGCTGTCTTCTGGCAGTAATTTAATCTGTCGCAAATTTATCTATTAAATAACAATTCTAACTTTCATACAAAATGCATTTCATTTCTCTGTGTTCGTTCTATCGTGTCTTTTTTCCTTTCTTACGCCCTCTTCCTCTTTCTCTCTTTCGGCATGATATAATTTTACGACATGATATTGTTGAATATATTATTTTTCACCTTCCACCTGAATTTAAATTAGATTTGTTCATTTTAAACATTTCTATTTTCAAAGAAAATCAATGATATCTTTTGCATTAAACTTTTTTTAAAAGCAATATATTCTGTTTGTATAATTGTATAATATGATAAATCATTTCATTTATCATTCTCGAATTTCAGCAATTCTTATATTTGAAAAGATATTTGAAATTTTGATTTAATAAATTTTGGGATAATTTCCTGTTAGCTTATTGTTTTCAAAATGATCGTAAATCAATCATTTTCAGGTTGTAAAGATGATGATTTTCTTTTATTTCATCCATTTTTTGCAATTCTTGTGATTTCAAAAGAGAAGTGTAATGTGATATTAATAATTGAATGAATTACTGAAATGAAATTCGATTCTTTATTATTCAGTAAATTTTAATTTTATTGTTTTAGCAAAGAATTTCAGTTGTACAAGAGAAATTATTATTTGTTAAATTTATAACTCATTGATTGTGTAGATAACTACATTTTTCATCAATAACTTACTTATACAATACATCAAAAATCTTAATTTTTAATTTCAATAATTTTTAATTTAATTCATTATGATTTTGTATTTCAGATAAAACAATACATAAATGAATATCATTGTTAAGTGATCAATATTTCGGATCCAATCAAAAATTAGATCTCATTAAGAGCAATTCAATGTCAAAAAAACATTAATACGAGAAATGTTATACTTTTGGAGATTAGAATCAATTACGTTTGAATGATTAATATTCAAAAGAACCGTATAGATAAAATTGATAAATATTACGACGATCATAGTGACATTCATTTTGATTACATGAAATGGTGTAAAATATAAAATAAAAAATTAAAAAATTTCCTTTCCTACTCATTTCTGTCAGTTATCAGCTTTCTTTGCTTTTTTAAGTAAAGTTTAGGATGGAAGATGCAAGTGAAACATAATATATTTTATGAAAGGACTCAAAAGACGAATGAAGCAGCAACCGAACCGATCAATGCTTTTCTTCCATAACAAATTTCCAGCTGTTCTATCGTTGGCTGTTCATTTCCGCCTGACAAAAAAATGCTGTAAACTTTCCGTGAAATGTGGAATTGTTATAACGTGCTATTTCATCTTTAAAGCTCAAATTTTTGCTTCACAACAAACTTTTCAATATTTCGTTGTTGAAATTACTTTCCTTATGCTTATCTCCTACATTTTTTTCTTCCTTCCAAACAAATTTTCTCCTTCACTTTTTGCTTCTTTAGCTTTTCATTTCCATCCCTCCCTTACCTTTATCTTTCCAAATCCCAACTTAGTACAATTTGTAATAATATAAATGTGTCTGTATGTGTTTCTCTGTGTGTTCAATATCTCGACAGATAGCACATCCATCCCTTCGATCTGATGATCTGTGTTTCCTGCTCACAACATATATCAATCTATCATCAACTTGTATGTGTACTTTCTTCGTTTTCATCCTTCGCTTCTTATATTTAGTACAAATCGCTTTATAGCATCAGTTTATTGAACGTTTCATCAAAATTTTCGAAATGACACAAACCTTATAACTTTACGGCTTAATATAGGAAAATCCTGCGCAAGTGGTCAGCGCTAACAAACAGTATGAATTTATTCAAGCATTAGTGTTAAGATAAAGGATAGAAAAGAGGTCACATAACATAGAAGACGGTCATTCGAAATGTTTTTCAAGTAGCTCTGAGATAACTTGTATTCAATGAGAGCCAATTAAAATGACCAGTCTATCCAAATCACAGCGAAACTTACATTTGCATATGACTAATTGATTGCTGTTTGAAGTTCTTGTCAATCTCCGGTGTATTGCATATTATTTCTTTCTTTGTCTATTTGCACCCCGCAAGTGTCAATAAGTTTTATTTAATTAAGCGCATTCAGTGTTATTCATAACTTTTAGATGTTCAAGAATTGAGCTTTATTCACGCTACTTAAAAATCCTTTACCTTTTGACGAACTTTGCCCTTAGCATATTGCTAGAGCATTCTGTCAGAGTGATCATTTCCCATTTATTCATTTGTAATATGGATTTTAAATGATTACTGCATGTTTAAATACATTCTGCACACCCCTCACAGATGAAATTGAAGGAAAAGTTGCGGAACAGATTGCGGAGGGAGTGCGGAAGGAATTCGTTCATGTATCATTGCTAGTGGCATGCACTCCCGCTCACTTCTTTTCACTCACAGTGATTTTAACTTCTGCCACTTCCTTCTACTGATTCAAGGAAAACGCATTCCTGTTTTTATCTTTTCCGTAAAGTCGTAAATTATCGCCATCGTTCATCATTTTTTCGTGTACAATACATGGAAGGCAGTTTTCTTTGTTCTCCTGTTTATTGTCCAACAAATACAGTTTTACTAATTACCATCATTTATAGTGGTGGCAATTAAATAATTCTCGTAATATCACTGTAAGTGATGATAATTAATAGAGAATTAGTGATCAATGATACTAGTAAAACAATGATATTGTATTTGTTAGTGAAGAAGGACAAAAACCTTGGGAAGAAAGTGGTATTAGCAAAAAGATAGCAGCAAAATTAAAAATGGTCAGTCAACCAAAAGAATGAATGGAAAGAGAAAGGCTTAAATATTCTTTCAATCAACTCTCATCAAAATAACTCATCCAAAAATAACGCAAATTTAACAACTAAACACTTATAATTGTAAAACAAATTAATAAGAACGGAAAGAGGCGGTCATTGGTCATTCAAAAATGCGTGTAATTGTGTTATTTTATACGAATGGTCACTGTGTTTTATTCATTATCTACCTTCAACAAATATTATCTACCTTCAACAATTATTGCCGAACGGTCATCATTTGTAGTGCCCCAATTAAGAAGCACACCCCAAATACTACTTAATCATAGTATAAATAAATAGTAGAAGACCAATAGGGAATGAAATGGAATGTAGAAATGTAAAAATAGCTGTCAAGCTGTTATTCCGGATCAATAAAAAATACCTATGTAATGGATATTTTTTCAAATTTAAATTCATTTCAAAATTGTTATTTTCAGATTCATAAAACTTAAATAGTATTATTGCTTATCCATTTGATTATATTTCAACATTTTTTACCTATTTTTTCTTTTGTTTCTTTCTAATTAATTTACATACAAACAGTATTCAGAAAAAGTTTCAGAATTTTTAAAATTTATTTCTTCTTTAAGTTAATAATAATATGTTAACCTAATTAAAAAAAAGGAATAAGATGATAAATTAGGATCAAATTTTATTGAAATTGATTTGATGCTGCACTACCGCTCTTCTCATCCTTTGTCCTTTCTCATTTAAATGTTAATAATCTATCACTGAATTTGACCTTCTCCTCTGCATTACTATCAATGTTACCATAATTATTAACACAAACCAATACAACTATTAAAACGTAAATTCCACATAATTGCATCACTTATGCCACACATCTCTTAGATTGACCATTTATTGACCGCGTTATTTTTATTTCTTAATGAATAATGATAATGTTTCTATTTCTAATTTAAACCATCTCGTCCATTAGTTAATAATTATTCGTAAAAAGAATATCATATGCAATTGTTGTGGTTATTTAAAGGGAATAAAGTGAGGTTTAAGTTGGAGATAAAAATGGTGGAATATTATCAACAACTACCTTCAAACAATTATAATTATCAACAACAACTTGGCCATGATTACACACAACAAGAAGAGGAATGGGATCGTGAAGGATTATTGGATCCAGCTTGGGAAAAGCAACAAAAAAAGGTTAAAACATCGGATATATATCATTTGAATTTAAATTTGAATTTTTTTTTACATTTTAGTGATTACATGCACTAAGCCAATATAATTCAAATTGTTCAAAAATTTATTATTATTGTAATTCATATTTCTATTATCAATAGAAATATTTTAAATTATCTTAGAATATATCTGTGACATTTTTAATGATTGATTGATTTGCAGACATTCACTGCATGGTGTAACAGTCATTTGAGAAAAGCTGGCACAAGCATCGAAGTTATCGAGGAAGACTTCAGAAATGGTATTTCGAAGTTTATTCGCTGCTTGAATTTCAATTTCAAATAGTTTAAATGCAGAAATAAAAAATTTTATATTATTCAAGTGTTTCTTTTACAGATAAATCATATGATAAAGTTATTTTCAAAAATTAGTTTATCAAGTGATAAAAAAAATCCGCAAATTGGACAGATCAATTTATATCGAATAATTAAGGTTTGAAGTTGATGTTATTATTGGAAGTGATATCAGGCGAAGCACTGCCACGGCCCGATCGTGGAAAAATGCGTTTCCATAAAATTGCAAATGTCAATAAAGCTTTAGAATACATCGAAAGCAAAGGCGTTAAATTGGTTTCTATTGGTGCAGAAGGTAATTACAGATCTTTTAAATAGTTACACATTCATAGCATTTCTTTTGTTGTTTTCTCGTTATCACTTGATCGTGAAAAGATTGGTTTATGATAACTATAATTATAATTGCCAGCTGATATGTTTTAGAGATAACAAAACTTCAGGTAGAATCAATTAAAAGATATATTTAATTTCATTTTTTTAAACTTTCAATAATGTAAACAAAAAAAGCTATCACTTTCATTATAAATTATTTACAGGTACACCTGTAAATGTAAGCCTGTTTACTCTTCGTCTTTTTTTATCCATAAGTTCATAAAAATTTCTAGAAATTGTTGATGGTAATGTCAAAATGACTCTTGGTCTTATCTGGACCATTATTCTTCGATTTGCAATTCAGGATATCAATGTTGAAGGTTAATTTTTATGCTGCATATTGATGAAATAGTTACAAAAAGGTCAACTTAATTCTAATATAATGTTCAGAAATGCTAACATTGTCGCATGTTAATTAGAATATAAAGATTACTTTGTGATATGTAAATTATACAAAGGGGTCAACGAAGTATTATTTTAGTCAAATAAACTTTGAAGTGTTAATTTACTTTAAATTCATACAAAAGAATGAATCGATGTTGTTGTCCGTTGGATAGCAATTTATATGTAAACCATAAAATCTTTGTATTTTTCATTTTCACTATAAAAAATCCAGACTGATATTAAATTTTTCATTTTGGAATTATCGGCGCGTGATGGATTATTGTTATGGTGTCAGAGGAAAACAGCGCCTTACAATAACGTTAACGTACAAAATTTCCATACCAGGTAAGAAATTTTTTTCCTTGAGATTTTATGGGAATAATTCTTTTTTACCTTGAGATAATCGCTCTTTTTTCGTTGCAATTCAATTGTTTAAGTAAATGATAAAATTTCCATATGATTTTTAAATATTTCAGCTGGAAAGATGGCTTAGCATTTTGTGCTTTAATCCATCGTCATCGTCCAGAATTGATTGATTATTCGAAATTACATAAAGGCGATCCGCTTCACAATTTAAATCTTGCTTTTGATATAGCTGAAAAATATTTGGACATTCCAAAGATGCTTGATCCTGAAGGTTATTTAATTTAATGTAAAAGAATTTAATGTAGTAGTTAATTTTATTTGTTTGATGTTAGCTCGAAATTTCGCTCATACAAAATTAGTTGAAAGAAGTTCACGGCATGGAAAAAAAGTCTTCAGATCTTGTCTACAATCAAAGACCGGACGAAAAATCGGTCATGACTTATGTGTCATGCTTCTATCATGCATTTCGTGGTGGTCATCAGGTTTATAGCTTTTTGTTTCGGTTGATGGTTTCTTGAGTGTGTATTTGTTTTTGTTCCGTCCGGTTTTTTTAAATCAAAAGCTATCTGTTGGGATGGAAATGCTTTGCTACACTTCTTTGTTATTTCATTTAGTTTTCCAACTTCGCCTAAAAAAATAAATTTAAAATCAAATTTGTTGCAGTGAAATATTTCACTTCATGTTAACTTACTTAACTCATTTTGTGTTTTAGTGAAATTTAAATTTGTTACATCAAAAATATAACAACTTTAACCTTATCATTTTCAATCATTAAAAGGAATAGAAATAAGTTTTAACCAACAAAATAATTATCATCCTTTAAACATTTAACAAAAAAAGATTCATTTTCTGAAAAAAATATTTCAGGAAAAACTTTTAACAATTGTGTAACGAAATTCTTTCCGATACAAACAATTGAAAATCTGAATTAATTTTTAAAAAAAACAATAACCGGAAATGAATTCCGTAATCTTAATGAGAGCGAGGACAAAAGCAGAAAATGAAATTTCTATACTTCTTTTATAATATTATTTCAAATTAACCATTCAATAATGTTTGTTTTTTAAAAAAAATTATTTCAATTACACGAAAAAGCAAAAGAAACAGGTTGCAGACATGGTAAGCAATGTACCTGATGAGAAAGCGGTGATGACTTATGTGTCCAGCTATTATCATTGCTTCCTTGGCATGCGTAAGGTGTGCGTTATCATCTCATTATTTTATTAATTATCATTTATTCATATAAAATGCATGTAATTGTTGTTCTCCGAGTGTGTCATATTTTAATTCATCAATAATACAAATTTATTTAGCAAATGCATGTTTGTGAAGCTTTTCTTTTTCTGGTAAAAAGTTTAAGTTTTTTCAAAAGAAAATATGATGAATTTTTATAGACTGAAACAGCGGCTCATCGTATCAGTCGTGTACTTAAGGTGAATCAAGAAAATGATAAAATGATGGATGATTATGAACGGATGGCAAGTGATGTAAGTAGTAGTGATAAAAAAATGATTTGATTAATTTGGAAATGATCATTATTGAATAAAATATAAATGAATGAACAGCGATAATTATGAGAAATAACCATATCAAATAATTTATAGTTGAATTTTAATATTTCGAAATTTGTAAATTCAATCATTACTTGTGAATTTTTTTTTGAGCTTTTGGATTGGATACGTCGTTGGATGCCATGGCTATCAAATCGATCAAGCAATGAATCATTAGAAACGATACGTAAAAAATTGGATGATTTTCGAAATTATCGTCAACATGAGAAACCACCGCGAGTGGAGGAAAAAGGAAATTTGGAAATACTTTTTAATACGTTGCAAACAAAACTTCGATTAAGCAATCGACCAGCATTTTTACCACGGGAAGGACATCTTATTAAGGTATGCCATAAACTTCTTTCATGCTAATATGTCATTTCTGAAATTGCTGATTTGAAATTGCAAAGTTTACTTTAGGATATCAGTGCTGCTTGGCGTGCTTTGGAAGATTCTGAGAAAGGTTTCGAAGAATGGCTTCTAAGCGAAATGATGAGGTGATGTGCCTGAAACATTCACCTCTACCAATCAATCAAAGTACAAATTCTGAGTCCACAGTTAAATTACTACTACTACTACTAGTACTAGAATTATTTTCTAATCTAACCATGTAATTTCATCCTTCCTTATCTAAAAGTTACAGATTGGAAAGATTGGAACATCTTGCGGAAAAGTTCCGCCGTAAATGTGCTTTATATGAGGAATGGGCGCATGGAAAAGAAGATGCGTTATGCTCATCGGATTGGCGATCATGCGGATTATATAAAATCAAAGTAAATTAATTATGAAATTTCTGAATTTTCACTTTTTTCCTTTTTCATTCAAAAATTTTAAATTTTATATCTAATTTAATGGTAATTTCAATTTTCTCATATTTGTTTTTATTCAAAAATTTGCAATATTAAGGCCTTACGCAAACGACATGAAGCATTTGAAAGTGATCTGGGAGCTCATCAAGATAGAGTGGAACAAATTGCGGCAATTGCTCGTGAATTAAACAATTTGAGATATCCTAATATTGGTCCAATTAATGTCAGATGTCAGGTATCATGCAAATCTCAATATGAATCTGAACTGTTTATTAATTGAATGATGTATTGAAGTTTTTCTGAAAATTGGTTCCATGAAAAGAATAATGTCTATTATAGAATATTTGTGATCAGTGGGATCGCCTCGGAAATCTTTCTCAGCAACGGCGCAGACAGCTCGAAGAAGCGGAGCAAGTAGTAGAGCATCTCGATAGGCTCTATCTCGACTTTGCTAAGCGTGTGGCACCATTTAACAACTGGTAAACAAATAGATACCGAATGAAATGAATTGTAAAATGTTTCTTCTTCATATAAAAATTTTAAAAATGATTTTTTAATCAGGCTTGATGGAGCTCGTGAAGATTTGGCTGATATAGTGATCGTTCATGAGATGAAAGAAGTACAAGAATTATTGAATGCACATAATCATTTCAAATCAACAATATCTGATGCTGATAATGAATTCACTGCTATCGTCAATATCGAACGAGTATAAATTACTACTAAGTCATCATAATGAAATCTATATTTATTCAAAAAAAAATATCATCGTTCCATTTCTAATCCATAATTTTAAAATCTTAACTTGAAGATTTTTTTGATCATTATACTAAAGTAATATGAAATTGTAGCGATGTTCAAAGAAAATATGTGGTGAATTGGTGGCTAAATAATTATCATAGGTATTTCAAAATGAAATTCAAACAATTATTTCAGGAAATTGCTCAATTAGTTGAACAGCATGGATTGGACAGAGAATTGCTGCGAAATCCTTACACCGATTTATCGGGCGCTGATATTCGTCGTAAATGGCAAGAAGTACAGCAATCAATACCAAAACGTGATGCGCAATTGCAAAATGAATGCCATCGACAACAAAGTAGGCATTTTTCTTCATTAAGAAAATGAATGGAAGTTGTCACCAATGTGTCATTGCACTGACGTCTCTGTAACAGAAGTAGTTCATTATTTTAATGAAATGAAATTGAATTTTTTTATTGTTATCTAGTTATTGTTAATTTAAAAATATTTTGATTATAATTAATGGATAAGAGGAATGTGTTTTTAAGAGCTAAAATTTTTTGCTTTTAGATAATGAACGTTTACGGCAATTATTCGCCACAAAGGCCAATACTGTTGGTCCGTGGCTTGAAAGACAACTTGAACAAGTTTTATCAATTGGGCTTGGTGGACGTGGAAGTCTTGAGAATGCTGTATCACAATTAAAATCGATTCAACAACAGGTATGCATATTTCAAATTTCATTATTTAAATACTTTAATTCATGTTGCTGCTGATTAAATGAATTATTAAATACTTATTTTCATCTATTTCGCGAGATATTTTTGCTTTATAGCAAACGAAATAAAGGTGAAAGAAAGGTAACTTATAATAAGGAAATGCATATATAACAAAATAATATTATGAAATTTTTCTTGTTATGTAAAATAATAATTTTCCTTTTAAAAGACATTCAACTATAAACCGAAATTGGAAGAGCTGGAAAGAATAAATCAGGAAATGCAAGAGAATTATGTCTTTGAAAATCGCGCCGCTCGTTATTCCATGGAATCATTACGCGTTGGTTGGGAATCACTCTTGACATCTATTAACAGGACAATTAACGAATGTGAAAATCAGGTAAATTTTGTGTTTTTAAATTAAATTCTAAAATTTCGTCGCTATTGAAGAGATGAAATTTGATGAAAAATTGCAGAGAAATAGTAAAATTTCATGGATTAATGATGAAAATTAATAAAGTTTACACATTTGTTTTTGAAGATTCTGATGTGTAACAGTAAAGGAATCAGCGAAGAGCAGCTGAATGAGTATCGTTCATCTTTCAATCATTTCGACAAAGATAGACAAGGACTCGATCCTGAGCAACTCAAATCATGCCTCATTTCAATTGGCTACAATATTCGGCCTGGAAAAGAGGTCCTAAATTTTTTAGACGAATAAATAAATTCCAATATATTAATTTTAAGAAAGGATTTTAAATTTATAGAATTATTTTTAAATGTTTTTTTTTTGTTAGGGTGATCAAGATATGAGCAGAATATTATCAGTGTTGGATCCGAATCGTATGGGAAGAGTACCATTTAATGCCTTCTTGGATTTCATGACGCATGAAACGGGTGATGCAGATACAGCCGAACAAATGATCGAGTCATTTAAAATACTTGCCGGAGGAAAGGTTAGCATTTTAAAGCCTAAAAAATTTACAAATATTATTAGAAAAGATTAGCAGGCATTTCGGTGCGACAACTCTTTCAGTTTCACTAATTTCGGTGTGACAACTCTGTCAGTGTTGGATCCAAATCGTATGGCAAGAGTACCATTCAATGCCTTCTTGAATTTTCACTAATATTTTAAATGAATGATTTTTTTTCAGCCGTATATAACCGCAGAAGAAATTCGTCGCGAATTACATGCAGATCAGGCGGAATATTGCATACAAAGGATGCAAAAATTTCCAGCATCAAGTGGTCCACCTGGTTCCTATAACTATATTTCATTTAGTAGAAGTTTGTATAACTATTAAACTTCTTTCATTACAATAGAAATTACTTCCTTACTATTTATCGCTTTTTATTAATTAACAGGCGGAAAAGTTCGGGTGAGTTACGTTATATCAAAATCTCAACGAAAATTCATACAATCCTCTTCACTCTCATAAAATAAAATATTTCCTTTTTGATGAGAAACAATTGAGATTATGTAAATATTTGAAAACACTCTTAAAGTTTCGATTTTCTTAAGTTATTTTATTTGAATATATCACAAATTCATTGAATTATTTAATAATTCAGAAAATTTTCCAAAAAGATGAAAAATTTTTAAAATTGTCAAAAAATTCAATTATTTCTTCTATTATCAATTGGATGATATTTGGAAAAGTTTCAAATTTTTAATGAATAGGCGAGCAAATTAATTAATTACTTCTTTTCTTCTATTGTTTAAAATGCATAACTGTAGTGAGAGGTCATTAACTACTGCCAGATGCTCGTTGTTAAATTAAATAAAATGTAACTTATTCAACGGTCAATAAATGTGATTTATTTGATTGTACGACATTTTGAGGTATCATTTGAAGGAAATAATCATTCGAATTTGAAATTCTTTTGGAATATCTTTTCAAATTTAAATTCGAACTTTTTTGGATTTTAAATATTTAATTTCTTACTTTCGGAAATAGTTTGTTAGCCTAAACTTTAATTAACAAATTAGCTAAAAAGTTTATTATGTCAATAAAAAAGTTTCTTTTCATCTATCTTCCAGCAAGCAACAAAAATTTGACAGCTTTAAATTAATATAATTTTTCAGATTTTATTACTACTCAATATATACATGAATTATGCTCTTAATTGAAACTTTTTAAAATTTTACAACAAAATGAAATTTTGCTAGTGAATATAAATAAACATTATCATTTAACTTTTCTATTGATCATTGATAAGAACTACAAGCATTTTTTTTCTGTTATTACAACATGGCCTTTCTCACTTTATCATTAAAGAATATGATCAGAAAGGTTTTGTTTAATTTTAACAATATCACATGAAGCAAATATTAAAGAACACATTAATTAAAAGTACAAAGATGATGAAATACGTTAAGTTAATTAATAATTACTGAATTGTTTGTTGTTCTTTATTTCAAACAATTTCACTTCACAAGCTCATTATGTATGTATGTGTGCGTGTGTGTGTGTGTGTGTGTGTGTGTTTGGATGAGTGTATTTTGGTTTTAAAGCAAATATTTTGGTTTTAAAGCAAATATGCATTACTTGCAACTTTGGCCTATAATGTAAATAAAAGCGTTCAAATATTCTCATATTGGAAGTTGTAATCTTTCCACAAATCGTTTTGTACCTTTTCAGAATTAAAACAAATATGCTTTATAATTAGTTTTAATGAATAGCAATTGAAAGATTAAAAAATGAATGATAGTAATATTTTTATTTATAAAATTAAAAATATAAATGTGAGATATTGCGCGACATTCAGCAAAAATGACAGACATTATTTCATACGACAATTTGTAACTGTGGAATGCAAATGAATTTGAGATTTATATTGAAGGATCATTGGTTATTATCGATCTGCTATTAAGATTCCGTAATTATATGATAACTGAAAAATGATCAACCATACATTTCAATTTGCATGCACATTGACAATCATTAGCTTGTAAAAAGACGTGCAGCTATATATTCCAATTATTTTAATGCTGCAAGTAATTTATAATATTCAATTTAAATAGGGGAAAGACAAAAATTTAATGTTGAAACTGATATTTTCAGCCTTCTATGATGACTAACCATTTATTGTTATCAAAGTTTGCAGACAGATAATTGATATGAAATATTTAATTTTGTACGAACTTGAAGAATTACCAAAACATGGAATATTCTAAAATTTGATAAAAGTCCTTTATTAAATTATCTCTTTATACCAAACAAACAAATGTATACAATTCATTCGTAGAGATTGACGGAATTAAAGCTTATAGTTTGTGGTATGCATTTGTAAAGTCCTTGATATGATGATGAAAAAGTACGTTAATTCCTTCGAGGTCATTATTATCTTTATCGTTATCATCACCATTACTGTTATTATCTTCTACCACCATTACTAGTTGACGAATTAAGATGAACTCAAATTTCATCACTCATAGGGACTTTTGCAACGCTCTCCGTCTTTCATCTACTAACGGAAAGAAATTCAGGTCAATAAAACGACTCACTTCGTATTGTTCGTCCTTTTACAAATACATAAAACATATGTTATTTATGTTGTGTGTTTGATACAGAGATTTGATTACAATTTAATTCAATTCGCTTCACTTCACTTCGTCTTATCAGAGCAAATGTTTTGATAGATCGTTCCCTTTGGGACAATTCACCTTTTATATTCATTGATAATATCAACCATTGAATTTGATTTGATCACTTATGTATTGATTGTTGATTGTTATTCATCGACAAAAATGATATCATTCTTTTTTAAATTAATTTAGAAGAAACTAATTATTGGGAATTAATTACCGAAAAACATTTGCTATAGTAATAATAAAATAGTTTATTATTTTCTTACATTCTTCAAAAGCAAAAATTTACCTATCATTCTACAAATTATCAAAACATAGTGGTAGTTTTCGAACTTAAGCTTTCTAGAATTAATAAAATAGGAATTTTTTAAATATAAACGAATCAATTATCAATTGAGATGTATTTTCATCCTGCATCAGTAGTGATAAAATATTGTTGTGTTGGTTGTATAGAAGGAAGAATTTATTTTGATCATGATAAAGATATATTGTAGAATTCGAATTAATTAATTTTAATTTTTTAATTTATGCGGTACCTATTTACTGTTGTTGACAGAGAGAGGTGGATAGTACGCAATAAATGATATTAATTTCGAATTATAACACTTTATTATATTTGAAATATTATATTTGAACATATATCACTCATTCCATTCAATCATTTCATCATTAAATTTTTTATGGATGGAATGAATAATGATTATAAATTATGATTACGGTAAATTATCTTTGAATGACTTAAATATTGATGAATTTCATTCATTTGATATCTATTAATAACTATTATATTTTGCCCATTGGAATTAAATGTGAGAATTTATTGTACAACTTGCGATCTTTTATTATTCTTAAATATTTTATTAAGGTTTGCTGACTATGATTATTCGTTATTTTGGTTTGTTTTACGGTTAGTAATATTCTGAGATTTATGAGAATGCTAACCATAAATTTGTAATTATCGTTTTGAAATTGGGGTATTGAAAGAGATAGCTTTCAAATTATTAATTGGATTAATCTTAATTAGAAATATTTAATTGTGATCTAAAAAATTCAATAGCTAGTTTTATTATTGCATACCTAAAAAGGATTTTGTTATGGTTTATGAATAATATAATTAAAGTGTTTTAAGGTTGGATATTATTCGTTTTTATGAATAATATTGATAAGACTGTTTTCTTATGTATAATTTAATTATATTTAGTCTTGCTTGTTGTTCAACAAATTTTGTTTTTATTTTTGAATGTACTATATTTTATGTAAATTTTTTAAATTGATTTTTCGATTGCTTTATAGTTTTCAATTTAAGAGTTCTTTGTTTTTGTTTCTATTAGTTTATAATTTTGTCGCTAAGCCAGGCCTATTGCTTAATGTTTATTAAAGACTTAAGCTCTATGATTGCTTTAAAATGGCAGCCATAACGTGATGGCACAGAAACGTAAATGTTTTGTCTTTTTTAAATGATTTTAAGTATGAATGAAATTTTTTATAGTTTTTCTTGTTTATATTTATATTTGCTTGAATTATTTTTTTGTTCAAAGATTATTAATTACTACGAAGATAAGTCTTTAGAAGTTCTTCTTTATTTTATATGATATTATGTTTTTATTTGATATTTTCTTGATGACAGATTTTAAGAAATTTTTATACTCATTTGTTTGGAAGTTCAATTGGGCTGGCTGCATCGATGTGTATAATTTTTTATTACAGAAGAGAGGAATTTTTCTTTGTTTAAGATTGTTCTTTTTTAGCAAAAAGTGCTTTTAACACTTTTACTAAGGTGTTAAAACAAAAAGAGATATTATTTTTTTTGTTTTTCGGTATTTAAAAGAAATGATGATAGGAATCTTTCACTCTTAATTGTGTAGTAAAATGATTATAAATCATTATTGTTAATTTATAAAGCTATTTTTTTCAATAGATCATTGCTAAGCAGGTAATTAAAGTAATTTCAGGTAGAAAGCTGAAGTAAACCTCAAATAGACTACTAAAGTAATCTTAGTAATCTGTAGTAATTTTATTGTTTCACTTAGCAATTTTTTATCCATCGTTATTTTCTATAGCACATTCTCTATCTTTTCATTACTTTACAAAAATTGGACATTCTTATTGTTTTTATTGTAGATTCAAAAAATTCAAAAGTATTTGTGATCATTGATAAATTGAGTAGTAAGAAAATGAACGTCTAAAAGTGAAACCTTTCTGATAAATTCTGTTAAAGCAAAATAAACTGCCCAAAGAAATTTATCATTTAAACCTAATCATTTAAATGTTTGCTTTTCTTGAAATTATTTCAGCGAAATAAAGGTGTTCAAAAAAGAATAATAAAATTTATAAATTCCTATCAGATTGGCTGCTTAATAAATTTCTTAAAAGCTACGCTGCTTTCAGCACTAAAAGAAAAAAAAGATTTCATTCAGAAATTGTGTAAATTAGTTAATGTTAATAAGGAGAACAATAAAAATACAGCGCGGAACGATTTGTGATTTAATTTTAGAAAGAATTTCGGAAAAATCTCAACAATGCGTCCTGATAACCCAATATTGTCATGATAATTAGGCATCCGGTTATTTTTAAATTTTATTCCTATCAATATCTCCACCTTATTTAATCTTTAAATCTTCCCCATTTACCAACATTCAAATAACATTTTAACACCAATTCTAGTTATAAATCAAAATACTTTTTTTTCATTAACTAATCTATGTTAGTAAATCTAATTTGAATGAAATATATAAATGTTACCTCTTTTTTTTCAACGAACTTTCGAGCATTATACAATAATTTATGTTAAAATTTGGATGAATCAATCTTCAAACTCTTAATCTATTCAAACGTCTATTCAACTTATCAAAATCTTTAGGTCACGATGAAGTTGAAGATAATTACAGTTTAAGTATAAGAGTATATTTGACATAGTTTTGAGTATAAATACTTTTCATGTTACATCTTTCCTGTCTACATATCATTCGCATAATTTTGAAGTGCTATTGAATTATCTGGTAAAATTTTCTCGAACATTTCATACGCATATAAATATTTTAATATAAGTAGTGATGGTAACCTTCTGTAACCTTCTGCTACTGTTGATGTATTATATTTACTTCCGATCATCTTATATTTCACTGTTCCTGTTAATTTACACACTTCTACGTTGGAATTTCAAGGTGGTTTCAAAAAAAAAATCATCTCTTCAAGACGAACAAATACTGTACCGTTTTAATATCTTCACCGGTTCGTCCTCTAAGCATTCATTCATTCATTCATTCATTTTTCCGTTTCTTATGGAGAATGGCCTAAATTATTGATAAAATGTGGCTTCTAAAATGACCTTTTCAATATTATTAGCTATTTAAGAGTAATTAAAATATGAAAGTAAAGTGAAAATGTCAAGAAGATTTATGAAAATTATATTAGAAGAGAAATATATTCTTCACAGCAATTGTTAAATTTTCCGCAATATTTTTCTTTCCTTCTGATCGATCAGTTCTGTATTTTATTTGCCGTGACGAAATGTTAATTTGGAAATAATTTTTGTTTTTAATCGATGTGTAATTAATACATTTTTGTTTTTAATCGATATATAATTAATACTGTCGAAAATTTCAGCTGTTCATATGCATGCTCAAATATGGTGCCATCTTTTGAAATTTAGGAAGTAAGTAATAATACGAATTGTAGCAATAATAACAAAACTATTATTACTTATTATTGCTACATCTCTCGATAATTTAAAAAGTGCTTCACTTTGCAGCCTTTTTATGCAATAATTAGACAGGTAAATATTGCTCACCTAACTTTTTCAACAAACAAAAGAAATACTACAATAATTAGATCAATATAATGCAAGGAAAAAAACAATAATAGAGTGATTATTTTAAATTAATGAATAAACTTTTTTAATTTTGAAAATTTAAAAAAGTCAGAATTTTTTTGGATCGAAAAATGGCCTATGAAAGACTAATTATTACTTTTCGTTTAAATGAATGAAATTTTAATTAGTCTAGAAAAAGAAATCTAATAGACTAGGATAATATCAATTTGTTTTACAACTTCTCGGATTAGTGTTGTAAATATTATCGCCATCAAAGACTTCAACGAATCATCATTTTTTAATGAATGAAATTTGTGGATAGTACTGATAAAAAATACCACCATCACAATCACTGTGTACAAAAGAATGTTTGTTAAATTAAAGAAAATTGCTTTTGCTTCGGCAGTTACAACAGTAAGTAAAGCGATCCGATCATATAGTGAAGACGATAATGCATTCTTTCTTACTTTACATCATTTTAGTATTAATTACTTTCATATCTATTAGAATAATTAATTCCCTTATATTGTACAGATGAAAGCATCGCAGAAATGGGCTTAAAAGTCACACCAACAACACCGGAAACAATTCTAAAAGAGCCTAAAGCAGGAAAGGGAATTAGGAATCAATTTTGGTCGACAGGTTTCATTAAAAGTGATGATCAAACACCAAAACGACCTGAATCAACTGTCAGTCGACAATTTTTACCAAAGAAAAAGCATGGAATTAGTGAGGTTTGGTGGAAGCAAATGCAAGAAAGTGTATGTTTCTAATTCATTTACATTACTTATAAAAAGAATATAATTTTTTTGTGTTAAACGTTAATGTAATACGAGAATAGTTATGAGTGTATGGAATAAATTATGCAAATAATGGATGTATGTGATCGAAATAGAAAGTCGAGAGTACGTGAAGTGAAACGTAGTAGAAGAAGCACAGTTGACAGATGATTGATAAGTTTTAAAGCTCTAATAATAATAGGATAAGCTAGGATAAAGGAAAATAAAATAACTAATAAATAGTCACATATGAATTGAAAGAATGTGATTGATTGGTTAACATCCACGGAGTTTTTCATGATAATACCGCGAATGAATCAATCAATCTGTCTTCGGAAAAAAAAGAGAAATTAAGGAAGCGATTCGGTTGGTTGACTATCTGTAAGAGTAGTAATTAGGCCTTCTCATCTCATACCAAATTGTTGACATCTGTTGTTAGAAGTGTGTCGAAGGAAATATGGAAAATCGAAGAAAAAATTTGAAAGTCTAAAGAATTCCATTAAAAAGACACTTAGACTCAATAAGTTTCAGTCTAACAAACTTTTTTTTCAATTTAAAAATGAGTAATTTTTTGAAATCATTGGAATAGAAATAATTGAGAAATGCTTGAAACTATCCTATTACTTACTTATATCATTCGTTATCATTTTTTTCGATTTTTTAATTCCGATATTTTAGCGTGAGGATCTGAAACAACCCTTTCCGTATACACCATTCAAATCAGGTTCACTAAGCAAGAAGGCATCAATAAATGCATTACATGATACAACATTCAATGCACAATTAAATCAGGATTTATCACAAATCTATGGTACCCAGCAGCAACCAGGTTAACATTTCGTTTTTCTTCCTAAATTTTTGCAACTTGGAAAGCGACCAATTTATAAAGTATGCTTTGAAGTCCTTGCAATTAAGAATTTTTCGAAATTGCAATTTTATAAATATCAAATTATTCTAGTAAGACAATGCAATAGTAATTCTAGCCTTTCAGGTCATCCACGATCAGTGTCCAGCATGCAAGGGACATTGAGGACACATCACACCAATGGTTTATATGGTAAGCTATTTCTTGTGTTTTTGTGAAATTATTAATTTTAATTTCCAATAGGAAAGCTTTTAAAATAATACACTGATTTTTTTTTAAAATAATACACTGTTGTTTTTCTAATTTTTTTTTAAAATCCGTTGATGATAAGTTATGCAATGTTTTGAGAATTATTATTGAGAAGAGAATTAGATCAAATCTTTATATATCATTAATGATATATAATTTATCAATAACTGATAACGAGTACTGAAGTACAGTACTATCCTTCATGAAAAGGTAATCAAATAGAGAACGTTTGAATGAAAGTAAATATACTATTACTGAATGGGATTATTACGGAAATTACAAACGCAGCTAAAAGTTTTGTTTTCGTAAAAATTAAATAATCTGATCTATCAACATGTACAGGTATCAGCGCTATACCACGTCCGGAATCGAAAGGAATATGGCGAGGATCGCAATGCGGAATAATTCCACCACCACCATCAGGATCATATCGCCCAGCCAGTGCAATGAATATACCTGCCTTATCTCGACCCACTTCAAGAGCGAATAGTGACTTAGGAATAGGTATAAAATTACATGCCAAAAATAACAAAATAATTTAATCAAATTGTTTTATTACACATTTCATGGTAAAATAGAAAATGAAAAATTCCGTACTGATTTGGGATTGAGGAAAGGTTGAAATCGATGAAAGCGTAAATTTCTCTAATCAAAATATTCCATTGTTTATTGAATTCATTTTAATTTACAATCACATTTGATATTCTTTTCTCATTTACCTTCTCTTATTTGTTTGTCTTTAATGAATAGAAATATTATGTAAAATAATAATTAAATTTGGTAAATGATTCAATTCATAAAACTATAACATCCAAACAACGAGTTGAAAAATTCGGAAATTTAAAGGTTTGTTTTTCTGGGAGTCACACAATAAAGTACAATTTATTTTATTTAAAATAAAATGTTATTAAATTGCTGACTCTTAATAAATCATTACTATCTTTTTCATTATTTGCTTAGGTACTGTTTCTTTTTGCGATAATATTGGTAATGCACCTTCGAGATATCAAAGTTATTGTACACTTCCACGGCCGGAACAAATCGATTTCGATCAACACTCAAATTACGGCAATGAAATTAGTCAAATGGCTAAACAAATCAATCAATTATATGGTCCCTATAATTCACAAATTCAACCATCAATTAGCCCTAATGCAATCAGTAAACAGGTTTATACTAATTTGAATATTTTTGGTGTCTTATTTTTAGTATTTATTTTTTGATTTTACTTTCTATCCTTTCTAAGGAATTTTAAATTTGTTTTTTAATTTCAATTTTATCTGTTGTACTCCAAGCTCAACAAACTTTCCGCGACATAGAAATTGCAAAAGCATCCCATGATTTGAATTGAAGTTTAAGGCCTGGAAGAAGTTTCGATATTGAGCCTTTAGTTATAATATCAAACTTCAACTTTCATTTTTTGTCGTATCAGAGATTGCTTATTGATACTTATAATATCTTTAGTGATTTTATATCCATTCTTTGCATGTTAAGTTTTTATTCTTATCTAAAATTCATTGAAATTCGAATTGAAAAAAGTTAAAATCAAAATTTCAATTTCACTGATATATTGTCAATCATTTTCTTTAGTTGGACTTTCTATTTGCAACATTTAAGTGAGATAAATGAGATGTTTATTTGAAAAGTTTGGGATGGGATAGGCTTCCTGAAGGTTAAGCCAAAGCATTTCAAACTGACATTTCCAAACAGAGACTGACCAATAAATGAGTTTTAAAATTCCGTAAAAAATGAATTGTAATAATAAGTTATACAATTTTTATACAATACAATATTGCATCAATGTATCACTTCTAGATGAAACGAAAATTTTGAAGTTTTTAAGTTCTGACCACCCCATGAACTAAGAATTTCTTCAGAATATATTATCAAGTCGGCCGGGATCATCGATGCTTATTGGAGCTCCAGGGATGATTAGTGATTATCTTACTCGGCCACATTCCGTATATGGTCCAACTGAATCCAATGTTATCCCACAAATATCTGACGAAGAGATTTTAAAGCCTGCAAAAGAAATAATCTATTTTGATGCACTTTCCGTTCTTTCCGTGCTCCAGGTTTTTTATGGAAATTATAAAAGATATGAGGAATCTGTTTCACTGATTCTAAGGAAATGCTTTAACCAATGATTGAATAGTTTCTGTGGGAAATAATATTTCAATTGATTTATTAAAGATTTTCTTGAAAAAAGAAATTAAGTTTATTTTCTATGAGAGAAATTCATATTTTCAGATTCTTTGTTCATTAGTAATATTTGGTTGTGGAGTTTTGCGGATAATTTGGAATTCGAAATGGGCAATAGGTATTGAGATTGTTCTTGCTGTATTCATTTTCGCAGCTGGTGTTACCGGAATATGTGCAAGTAGCCGAAGGTCTGTTTCAGGTCACCTTTAGTTCTTTTATGAACTGAAGTTGTCCTTCGATTTTTATTTCCATTTTTTATTATGAAATTAGTAGTTTAACTTGAAAGCTCATTAATTAATTTTTTATTAAAAGGCTAATTTTTTTCATTTTTATAGATGATCATTCATTGGCGTAATGTTTACGAATTGGGATTTTAGAAAATAATGATATTTGATTATCAATCAATTCAATTAAATTTATATTTTTTGGTTTTCAATTTTTCATAATTTATGAATTAAAATATTGCAATTATTAGATTGTATTTTTAAGTTTGAAATAAAAAATCAAACATATTATTTAAATCAAAAAAAATAAACCAATAATGCAATAATACATTTCAGATCTTACAGCGCAGCGACAGCAGCATTTATTTTGTCAATGTTGAATTCTATTCTCTCTGTTATACCTTTCATATTGGGTAACAAATTTCCTCTCACCTTCCTATTTTTATTAGAGTTTAAAGCAAAAATTTAAAACTTAATAAATTTTAAGAACAAAAATTTAGTCTGATGTAATTTTAGGTGCTCTTTCGGCTATAGCAAATGCATTTCCTACATTGAATCCGGAATGGCTACTTGACGTGCATGAATCATGGGCCATCGATTATTTACTAAGTTTCATTTGTTTTGCTGAGGTTAGTCTAATTTCTACATCAAATGGAAAGTTGAGAAATGAAAGCAATTTAGAGTTCACGAAAAACAGTAATAGTAAAACTGAAAAATGAATTTTAAATAGACAATTGAAATTATTTTTCAATTCAATTTTAAATAGACAAAGTTATTATTCAATTGCAAACAATGAATTACGTCTCATTTGGCTTTCTACGAGCTTATATTTTTGGAGTACGTTCAAGTCAAGCCTTAATCAATGTTCAATTATTTAATCTAATAAAAATTCCAATCAAACATAAGGATAATTACAGACGATGATAGCAATGACAACATCAATCTATGGATGCAAAGCATTTGGTTTAACGATGAGGCTTATTGAGAAGCTTCGTTTTAGTGTTGATCTGAATACTGTATTTGAAGGCCTGTCACCAGCAAATCAAAAGGAATTAAATGGAATGGACAACAAAGAAGCAGTATGAATAACTGTAATAATACCTGAAGTTAATTACCAACAATCACAAAAAAGTTTTTTTTTCAACATTTTGAGTTTTATTCTTTATAACATTAATTGGATCAAATTCTAAACAACTTCAATTAATTGAATAAAGTAACTAATCCTTAGCTGATTAGTTAATTGGTGACAAAAGTTGTTTTATTGTTTGAAAAAACGCTGTATGACCAAGGAGAATATACAAATATATTAAATGAATGAATGAATGAATCATTCATTCCTTCTCATCAAAATTATCATTTCCAAAATTTCCTGTTATTAATATTAATTGATTTAAAATTGGTTTTATATTATTGGGTCAGAAGTTCAGATTTCAATTATCACTTGTTATCCTTTCATATCATTCGTTGCTTGTTCAGTCTCTCGTAAATTGAGCTTGACCAATCTCTTATGAAAAGAAAAAATATATTGTTCGTTTTTATATTGTTCAATACTTTACATTTATTATTCTCTTTATCACCAGATAATTTCATCACAATAATACAATTCCAATTTTTTTAATTTATGAAAATTTTCTAAGAATTAGTAAATGTCATCGCTTGGTGACAATTTAGGTTGACGACCTGAAACGGTTAAATAGACGAGAATTGCTGACAGATGATTACAGAAAACACTTTTGACGTTGTTAGCATTTTAATCTAATAAAAGATGCAATAAAAAATGGATGTTGAATATCGATACAAATTCGTATTCGGACTTGTTTGAAACATTTAGAAAAATTTTTCTCAATTCAACTGAATTTCATTTAATTTCAAATTTTTTCCTCAATTTCCTATTTGTTTGCAACCAAATAATTGAAAAGATAATTACTGAAAGCTAATGACTTTTTTGACCTCTTACATTTCAATACATACAAAAGGTATGTTAATTTATCTCCGTTGCAATTAGAAAGGCGAAAAATTATTTTTGAAAATATTTGTAGGATGAAATTAAACAACAAGCTGAATGAAATATCGGAGTTTAATTACCTTACTATTTTAAATTGTACCAGCATCAGATGACATAAAGTATGAAATATTTCGAATGCCTCTGGAAAACTACACATTTCTGCTATAATTTCCCTGCTCCCTTATTTTTTTCCCACAATTTGTAAAATGTTTTCATACCTGAACAATTATTTAGATTTTAAATAATTTGCATCTAAAAAAGTTGATTATTAATTCCAAATCAAATTCAACAATAAATACGCCTATAACATATAAGAAAGTATTTGAGAAATCTGGTTGCTTGTAGCCAATGCTAGGACAACTAACGCTGTTGATCATCGGTCCCATTGTAATTATTGTCTTTCGACATCGAATCATTCGCTACGTCTGAAACCTGAAATTGGTATTCTGGAAAAATACAAATTTTGGCTTTTTTTACTGACTTTAAATGATAAAAATTATTTTCTCTGGGTAATAATTTCTCTGGTTTTCTCTGGGTTTTGGTGAAATATTGTAATAAGAAATAAAATTCAAGAAATATGTTTTGGGTGAAATATGTGTTACCATTCTGCTGTGATAAGAAGTAAAAATTCGAGAATAGAAGCGACTACCTGAAACATCATTAACAATTAAATGAGTCGAAATTAATTAAATAACAATTAAATGGATGGAACAGATGGAGACGGACAGGATCACTGAAATCAAAAGCAGCATAAAACAGCTCAAAGACGAAATTTCCCAACAAATATCCGTTATAAGGAAATAGCGCTTCGCAACTTTTCTAACGCAGAAAACTATTATTGGATGCTTAAACTCTCAAATCTCAAAGTACCAAATTATATTTAAATTTACCAGTCTATCATGCAGCAAAAGTCATGCAAGACAGATATATTAATGACAATTCCGGGAAAGCAAGTTTATTTGACACATCTGAAATGCGACTGGAATTATCAATAAGAGAATAAAGCCGATAATAATGAAAATTAAGTCAAAAAAATTACATCAGAGATCCAATTACAGAGTTAAATAAAACCAAAAGAATATGCAAGAAATGAAGTTTTTAATACGAGATGAAATAAAAAGTGACTGAGAAGTCACGTATATTAATTTTAGGTAAAGAAAATTAAGCTAGTAAAATTGTCGGATATTGATTCCGTCCATCAGTTTCTTGTCTCTTTGGATTTTACTTTCGATGTGAAATAGAAAGAAGTCTGAAAACAGTGATTAAAAGTTATTAAAACTAATTCAAAAATATTAACATCGTTACCAATAGTACATAGTATCCCAAAAGAATAAAATGAAGGCATTCTGTCAATTGTACAAGGGCGCATTCACCTTCTGAAAACACAGAGTGAGTTAAAATATACTATAATCTTTAGGTGAAAGATTTTGCTAAATATAAAAAATGGAAAGCCTTACTTCATCGTTTTTTAAATTTTCGGAATTTTTACGTTTTAAACCTATTAAAAAGTAACGGTAACCTTATCACACCTCAAAGTTACGGAACAAGGAAAAAGATCATTGAGCGGTAAAAATAAGTAATTAGTAAGAAGAATGGAAATGGATGAATATATAGAGCAGTAGAAGATATAATTATGCCCAACTAAGAAGCCTATCAATATAAATTTGATACTAGTGATAAAAACTGCCCATCTATTCAATCGTATTTCAGCTATTGTATCTGCCAGGAAATTTAATCTAAATACTAATTTCTACTTTAGAAAATACAACAGCACTAATTCTCAAGTTCTAGCAATAAAATTTAACATTCATTCATGCGATTATTTCATATCATTCTCTATGGATATTGCGCGCATTCATTGGTTAAAGTTATAACAGAAATATTAAATATTAATAATATTATAAATATAATATAATAAATTAATATAAATGTAATATAAATATTAACTGAGGATCTTATATTACAGATTTCTGAAGAAACATTCTAGAACTTAGCTTTCGATTAAATCTTATTTTAAAGAAAATACGATATCTTGGATTTCTTGCACTTTCGTTATAAGAATCCATCGTTAATGTCAAATAGAAAACAAACAACAAGATGTACTGTTGAAATGGCTCGGAAAACGTGACTAATGTTACAAAACTACATTTTTGCAACATAAGTCACGTTTTCCGAACCATTTCAGCATGCATTCATTGCGTTACTGTATCTTTGTCCATTCTGCTCTCTTCTCTTCATTTCCCATTCTATCCCATAATCTCATAGGATGTGATAAGAGATGAGGAATTTATGAGAGATTTGTTGTTGACGGACGACGATAGCTTATTCCTTTATTATTTATGATTCGATATTTGATTATTAGATGAAAACATTCGGGGTTACCTCATATCGATAGACGATGGATCTCAGTTATTTCTATTCAACTGCACCTTTCCTCATGCTAATAATTGGCGCATTCATTTCTTTCATACAAATCTTTACTAATCGATTGAGTAAATGAAAGTGGCACAGATTAACATATTTTCTATGTTTTTCATTAGGAAAGCTGATACTTCTGTTTTATTTGTTTCAATGTCATGTTCATTTTATGATTTTATTATGAGTTCAGAGTTTCTGTAACTTAGCCAAATCTAGATCAGTTCACAAGCTGCGATGTATTTGATCGTTATTAGAAAAAGATTTTTTGCATTAATTATAGTGCAATTTTTTCTCTCCGAAGTGTCGTTTATTAAACTCCCAATAAATTATCAAGAAATTAATTATTTCAGGTTTAAAAGAGTTTTGATTGTTTCTCTAGTTCTGAATCCATTCAGTTGATACTCCATTCAATAAATGGAAAGGGTTGACAAAAGTGAAGAAATTAATTAAACATTTCAGGGGAAGATATGTCAAAGAGGAATTTATTAGATAAATTCTTTTCAGGATATCAATATAAGTTTATTCTTTGTTTTTTATCTTTTGAATTTGATTCTTTCTCCAGTTGTTGCAGTTTTTCTTTATATTACCTTTAATTTTTTGTTTTAAATTCATCCAGTGCAATTTAATCTATTATTTCTATAATAATTGTTTGAGAATACAGATAATATAATAGCATTTCTGTTATAAAAATTATTTCAGTATTGGACGAAATTAGTAGAAACCCAGCATCGCGGGAAATGAATAAAAAAGAGTGTTAGTCCAAGGTTATTGCGGTCGATATGTCTTTTTCCCCTCACTTGTTTTCTAATTCAAACAGCGTAAACTGCTCATCACAATATCAATTATTCAGCTTAATTTAAGTGTTTTGTGAAATAGCTTGTCGTACAAGCATTCATTCTCGCAATTCTGATCACAATCAATGTAGAAATAATGAGAAAACTATAAATACTGAAGGCTTCTCAGGTATTAGACGCTGAAAGACTATCAAAATTCATCACGATCATTAACTGTTGCAGGATATGATAATATGAAACGTTGCCAAAACCCTGAAACAGCGAAAGCTACTGTTCATAGTGTGGTTCGAAGCAAACATTCAAAGATGTATGAACAGCCACCGCAGCGCAAATGTTCAAAATTGTTAAATGCGAAAATCTCTATTAATGAAACCTGGGAAAAAGTATCACCTATAAGAAAGCAAAAGTCAATTCACCGACCCCTTATCTTGCGGAAGATCAAGGTAATTTCAGTTATCAAAGATATTCTTTCCTTCGTAATTTTTTAAAATGCTCATGCATATCAAAAAAATCAGATTCTAAAAAGAAAATCAGATGCTAAATTGTATGGATTCAGCGTAAGGGAAAGATGAAAGTTGAGATTGCTAGACCATATTTCACTAGAAAATGAGAAAAGGTTTTGACATAAATCAAGTATGTGTTATCATAATTTTATGGTCGATCCAAATAAACGAGCAGAACCAATTTCTTAATGATGTAAAGAGTATTTATTAGTAAATTAATTCCAGTCTTAGTTTTTCAACCAGCTGATTTGTTTTCTTCATTTTTGTTTTTTTCAGCGAACAAATGAAGGTATTTTACAACAGAAGACATTATCACAACAAAGGAATTCCCTTGTTTTTGAGGTATTTAGATTTCTCCTGTAATTTACGTTATTCAATTTCCCAATTCCTTTGCATAAAAATATTGATAAAATAGCATCCTCAATGTAAGGTGTTTTTATCCCTCTGCTGCTTTATAGAACAGGAAAATTTCAAAAACCTTTCCCAATATTCATACTTTTTAGAAGGAAAAGGTGTTGGATTCTCTGTCCGCAATGAAAGAGGGCGATGAATGCCTAAGATTTACAGTTGAAGGTCAGTTTCGATAATTTTCGAAAATCGGAATTTAATTTTCACTTTACTTTTTTTTCTATATTCGCGTTATTCTTCATCCTTTATTATTAGTCTTTACTTGTTTTAATAATTTTTTCAGGAAAAGCAGAGTCCTTAATGAAGCTTTCGGAAAAAGTAGTTCGTTTCGCCCTTGTTTTGAATAAATGGGTGGATGGGAGATGCAAATTGTGTAATGCCAGACTAACTTCTTTCAATATGATCAAGAAGCAAACACAATGGCGCTCGAAAACTTGTAAAACACTAAAGCTTTTACAGCAAGACAGATCTACAAAAGGAAAAGGTTATGTTTCTTTTTGTTGCTTTCTCCTGTTTTCGAAATTATTAAAAGATACTCTTCGCAAAAAAAGAACATTTCAGTTCATAATTTGAAGATTAAATACAGAAAAGTTTGGAAAACCATGTAATCGTGCTATCAATGTTATCACGCTGCAGTTTTAGCAAGTTTTGGTTAATAAAATCAAACCAAAATAAAAGTAGCCTCTTATTTCCTCTTTGTTGCATTGACTTCTATTTGTTTATGCGGAATTCAAAAAGTTGAAAAGATTTTTGCATCACATCTTAGAACTTTGAACTTTTTTTATATCGGCTAAGCAGATGGAATCAACACGTTTAAGGATCTTTTACAAGTTGTTTTTAACTATTATCGACTTACTATTTATGCAAAAAAAATATGCTTAGATAATATATGCTTTGTAGAAGACGCTGAGGGTATTATGAGATCTTGCACTATCATGAGGCATTCAGAAAGACTAATCGGCTTCAATAAATGGTCACTCTCACATATGTGAAAGCGTAGCCTCAGAGTGATTTTTGAGATAGTAATATGAGATCTACTCATGTTTACAACAATTAGAAAATGATAATTTGATCAAGAAAGTCCATTATTTCGTTAACTAACGAATGATTTTAAGAGCCTTATGAGGAAGGCAGAATGAAACACAAACGAAATAATGTAAAACGTGGCAAATATTTGTGCAATGAGAACAATAAGGACATGGGTTGGTGAAGTTTTCAAAGTTATCTGTCCTTAATTTTCTTTAAAATGTTCATTTACAAGAAACGTCAGTATCGTGTTAGAAATTAGTTTCCAAGGAGGGATAAATCAGTTCTAATTTATAGCGTTGATTTGTAGAGTTGTTTTCATGAATGTTGTTAATATTTCTGATATAATAATGAAACGGAAAGTGAGGCAAATGTAAATTCTATATGCACCACAGGATATATTGCAGAATGATTTTCTTATCATAGTTTAATTTTTTGTTAATTTTAACATAATTGTCTCATAATTAATATGAAGCAAGCTGCATATTTTACTTTGTTTCAAAAGGATATATTATTTGCAAGAGGTATTGAATAGTACGGGATAACTTTACCCTAAACAATCAATTAAATGATTTTCTAGCTCAAGCAGACAAGCATCAGCCTCATACAAAAAATGAATATTCTAACTGTTTGAATAAAACAAATCACAATATGATTTTCACATCTAGATTTCACAGATACTGTTAGTATTAATTAACCAGTGGGGCAAGCTTTTTTATTCTTCTTTAGCTTAGTTTTTAATTAATCTATGCTGATATTTTCTGATGTTTTTGAAAAATGAAATACTGAATTCGTTAATGAGATTGAAGTCTCTGGAATAAAAGTGCATTTTGCTACATTGAAAAAGAACAGGGGAATTTAAATTAGTAGTGAAAATTCAAGCAAATTTTGAATTGAATTTATTTAATTCTAACTTGAAAAACGCAAAAATATTTTACATAATTATGAGTTTTTACACAATGAAATATCGCATTCTCGTTAGTTTTAACTCTCTAAATAATGCCTCTTAAAATTTTTGTGGCACAATTTTTTACTGTTTAAGATTATGAAATTCTTTTTTGATTTCTTCCTTTTTATGATATCCGAAGAAATGATGAGTCCCAAAACGAAATAATGGTATTAGGTTTTTTGGAATGTAATTTATTTTAGCACTTTCAACACTTGCTATGTCACCGAACAAATCTGAAGAAATTATATTAAATGATGGAAATATTGAATACGGAATTCCTGCGGAGGAATTAATGGATGAGGAATATGTACTTCAGCTAGGTCTCATTTTGAAATTCTTTTTTGATTTCTTCCTTTTTATGAAGTCTGAAGAAATGATGAGTCCCAAAACGAAATAATGGCATCAAGCTTTTTAAAATGTAATTTATTTTTAGCACTTTCAACACTCACTATATCACCGGACAATTCTGAAGAAATTGTATTAAACGATGGAAATATTGAATACGGAATTCCTGCGGAGGAATTAATGGATGAGGAATATATACTTCAGCTAGGTCTCTCTTTGGACATAAGCATGCCTTCTGTGCTGAACAGAAAAATAAAATTACACACTGAAAAATTTTGTTTACTTTTAAATTTAAAAATTAGACTTTTATTACCCGAGATTGCAGCATAAAATACAAATTCATTGCTGTATTTTTTTCAGCTGAGAATACTATGCCAGTTGACTATATGGAATAGAGGAGGTGGAATATTTTTCAGGTAACAACACCATGAATTGGGAGCATTTAAATAAAATGATAAGAAATTGATAATTTATAGCTGAATATTGGGACTATTGTTTATCCCACTGATCGAATTTTTTTTTTGAATTTATAAAACATATCTATCATAATAACGAATGCGAAATGTTCTTATGGAATTTCCTTTTCAACTTTCATTCCTCTAATCGTATACGTAACATGTTTGCACTAAGTTTATGATTGTTATCATTCATTTATTAAATTTATTATAACTAATGAATTTACTACCTTTCTTCACTTTGAAAATAGACACTAATGCATGACTGAAGCTAATTAACTTGTTTATGACGTCCAGATCATCGTTTAATGATTTTAGTCCAAACAGCTCCCAATTATTCATGACACGTTTATATTATACAATGAAAAATTTATTTCATCGGATTCAACATTCGATATTTCAAATGAAATCTTTTTTAATAGAATCAGGCAAAATACTCATATATGGAACTTATTTCAGTTTCTTTGAGTGTTTTACATTCTTTCAGGAATCTGTAAGAGAACGATAAACAAGTTAGATATTTGAATGAAATGGAGTTTGAAGACCAAAGACAATATGTAAAACAATCGCTAGTTTTGCTATTAATAAAGAAAAATTTTCAGCTTATGCAAATTTGTAAATCGTAAGTGATAAGTTTTTCTGAAAGTAAACTGAAATTAGCTTATATACGCTTTTTATTCTTCAAAAATTAAAAAAAGAAACTTCCAAACGGGGATTGTCATTTTTGATTTGCAACTTCTAAAACTGAAAAATATGCATAAGCTAAATCTGGTCTACTTCACGTGTTGCATTAACACGAAGATACATTTAGATATGTAAGTCCATTTCGACATAATTGTTGATTTTTTTTATAATTTCCAACTTTTTATATTGTAATGTAATTGTTTTAATAAAGAGTGTTTATTGAATCCTTATCAAAATTACTAACACATTTTTGAATTTCATGAATATTATAATTTCGAACCTTTTTTAGCAAGTTTTCAAAAATTGTTGTTTCTTATATACTGTTGTTAAAAGTGGTACTATTTAAATATCGATATTTTGCTGTTAAAATGAATTATCAGAAGTATCTCCTTTCTACTATGCTATCAATAAGCTGCAGAGAGCGTATTTTTTGCCATGCAATATCATAATTTAATTCTTATGAATTTCTTATCATCAGTCAGCATATTTGTCTAATAAGTCTAATAATCTGTCTAGGCATTCATCTAATAATTTACCTAATAATCTGTCTAATAGTCTATCTAATAATCTATCTAATAGTCTGTCTAGTAATCTATCTAATAATTTATCTAATGATCTATCCAGTCTATCTATTCATCTATCTATATCTATCTATCTAATAATCTATCTGTAATCTATTTATTAATTTATCTAATAATCTATTTATTAATCTATCTATCTGTCTAATCTATCTAATTCATCTATCCCTATCTGTCTATTTGATCTAATCTATTTAATCTAATCTAATCTAATCTTGTCCAATCTAAGCTATTCTATATAGTCTGTCTAATTTGATTTATCTTATCTTTCTTATCTGGTCTATTTATCTACCTAGCCTATCTGATCTATCTAGTCCATCTAATCTAATCTATCTTTGTAATCTATCTACCTATCTTCCTATATATACATGAAAGTTTGTTTCGTCCTTTCCAATAGATATTGTTAAGAAAGAAGCTTATGAAAGAAAAGAAAATAGAAGAGTTCATACTTTGCATTAAAAAAAAATTTATGTCTTTTCTCTTTCTCTGGTACCTTTTCGTGAATTCTTTTAGATAGTTCAGTTCTGTAAACTTGTAATCTTTCTCAATAATTCTTTACTTCCATTTTCTACCTTCTATTCATCTTTGCAAACATTACACTATCCACTTCTGGTGAGGTTCAATGATAAGGCCATTCTTTTATTCTTTCATATTTTCAGTTCACAATTTAATAAAAAAGGCAAGTTTTGGTGTGGCAGTTATGAAATGCTGTCAGAATCACTTCTTTTCATCAATCAATTCAATCATATAAATATCACAGAGTGCGCATAAAGGAATTGAAACGAATAAAATATTTACATGAAAAATGAATGGTAATAGTAATAATGTAAGTATGGAAATGCCTTTAAATACATTACATGAGGCCAATGATGCATACAATTTATAATGGGGCGGAAATCGTTTTCAGAAAGGTACAAATGAAGCGAAGACTTTTTGTTGAACAAGAAAAAATTGTTCGAGTTAGAACCTTAAACATCTCGTTTTCATCCAAACTTATAATAACTATGAACAAATATAATTATTAAAAAATTTTAGTGATATCAAGAACAGAACTGAGCACAAGGAAATGATCAGTAACGAATGAATTTTTTAAACACAAAAAACTTGATCAAAAATGACTGTAATGCATTTCAAAAATTAATTTCATTTTCAAATAAATACTAAGGTATTGAATGGTATGTCGTAGTATTAAATAATTTGCTAATTGAAATATATGAATCAAAAAAAATCTGTCAACAATTACATGAACAAATAATTATTCCAACAAAGGTTAGTAATCATTCCTCATATACTTCGCCAAATTATACAGTATCTTTGAAATGTTATGTTAATGTACATATATTCAATAATTGACTAAAATTAATAAATTTCAGAGCGCTTTAACAAATGCTTATCAAAAACCAAGTCTAAGGATTTTTTGATTAACATAGCACTCACTTATCATATCACAGACTTCATGACATTATACTTAAGTATCACACAGTTTCTATTGTTGTTTATCATTGGGTTGCATTTGTTTGCAATATTGTAACAAAATCCTTTGATAATATTCACGTGGCGTTAATGTCCTTGCTGTACTACATTTACTTGTATTTAAATCTAATGATTCCATACTTGCTAAGACACGTTCCGATACAAAAGAGAGCGTACGTGGATGCTCAATCCATTTGAAATAATAAATATCAGTTGGTATATACGGACGATCACCTGAAAATATTCTAACAACAATTCTTAATCAAAATTTTCTCAACATTTACAAAGTTGAAATACCTTTAATAATTGAAAAAAATCATTCAAACATTTATAGATATATAATATTTATTTCAATCCAATATATAAGTGCTATCTATCCGCACAACATAATTAGTAGACTAAGTTTAGCAAAACAAAAACAACTCGAAATTAATTTTTACTACATATTTCGTCTTTTGAACAAACTTTCAAAGAAAAAAGATTACCAAGCCAATTTAAATCAGGTTGCTTTCCATCAATTAAACACTGCAGTAAATATTCTTCTGGCAATTGGGCTAACTTATTGATCTGTTCCGCAGTAAAGCCGTATTTCTTTTGGAGAAATGCTGCATAATTAAGCACCTAAAGGTAACTATTTATGGCCAAGTAATTCTGTTTCAAGATCTAGTCCTTTTTTCATAATTGAACACATAAATGATTTTACAATGAAAATTACACAACAATATTAAAAGTGGCTTGGCTTCTTAAATTACTTCATTGCCATCAATCGATTATAATTAGGCTACTAAAGTATTAGCTAAACAGTAGTAAAATAAAACTGATCTAATTATTCTAACTGGAGGAGTAACGGTAGGTTGAAGTTGTATGCAATAAAACAGTCATTCGATGAAGGCCATATGATAATATTTTTAATTTAATTAAGCAGTGAAAAGAAAAATCGAATTAATTTGATTGCAATTATTTAAATCTACCAATCGAATGGATTCTTAAATAAATGCATCGAATAAAAAAATGTAAGAACTGACTTCTCCAAGATGTACAACTTTGTCGCCAATCATCATAAAACTGCGCCCCAAACTTCGACCATAGGTATGAATATCACGAATGTACTCACTTCCCACCAAATCTATAAATTATTCGTTCAGCTAACTTATTATAATTTTCAATTTTTGAAAATAGCAATAATTCAGTGGTATCAATTATCATTTGATCAAAAAAAGCGCACCAATACACATTGTTGTAATAATAAGGCCAATAATGATATACATGAGCGTTGCTGGCAAAAAGTCCACATTTTGAGGTACGATATCTCCAAAACCTATAATCTCATTTCTCGAATGCATTATGAATTTCTAATCGTAAATTATTCTTTTGGAATTATACTGTCAGTAATTTCTTTTTGGCTTTCAGTCATTGGTCAGTTACTTAATTCCATAGCTCACTTACAAATATTATTTGCATTTTAAAATCATTATTAAACAGAATTTCAGTGCAGTACAAAAGTAGCTACACGACAAACCAATAGTTGTTACGGTAACGAAACAGAAATAAAACGATTCCATAAATGTCCAATTTTCCCAAAGTTGCATAAGGCATGCACCACCAGCGGTATAAGCTGCAATTTTTTAATTTATCAAAAATCTATTACTGTATTTTCTCAAACAATCAAATTTAACTAACTTGAAATTTCTTTGTAAATTAAGTAAATAACCAATCATAATGACGAGTACAAATAGCACAGAAATGCGCCTGTCGTGGTGTGATACACTTTCCTCCAATTCATCCGCTCTTGCTTGTATATCTTGCGAAAGTGTTTTTTCACTTTCTTGTGTATGAATTTCTGATATATCTACAAAATTATTGTAAACTTTCACTGAATCATTTAACAGCACATTGCAATATCAGTTGATAACTTTGGATTATTTAATTATTTACAAATTACACTAACAATTTAAGACACTTATTTGTAACATGTTCATATACATCAAATGAACAACTTTTTGTTTTTTCAAATAAAAATAATTCCAATTTAAATTTATCATCAACTTTTCTTTATAACAATTCATTCATACATTTCTTTAATTCACCATTTCATGCTTCACTTCTTTTTCTTACATTCAAATTAAAGAACATAGATCAGATGCAGTTTTCGCAAGTGAACAATCCAAAATGCATTTTACTCATAATATTTTTAAGGATTTGCAATCAGAAGATTGTTCAAGTTAATCTAATCTAAACAAGATCAACTAATGTACCCTGCTAAATAGAAATCAACTGATACTAACATCAACTGATATTGATATGATAACATACCCTCAAATGTGCCTGCTTCAGAAATAGTATCTATATGATTCTGTCGTCGTCGTCTTAATCTTTTAATATTTGTAAAATCATTGACAGAAATTGTTTTTGGCTGCTTCTTTTTCTTTCTGAAGGTCGAAAAGATAAAATTTAGTTTCATTTCTAAATTAATTTGTAATCAGCGACCTCATCTATGATTATCATTTCAATTGGCCATAATTTAGATTTGTAATCATATACATTTAAAAATTATTACAGTAGTGAATGATATAGTTCACTAAAAAAAGATTTTACCTAACAAATGGAATACACTTGCAACAATATATGCAAAATTGTGCGGATTTTCGAAACAATTCCAAACGTAGCAACTTTATCATGCAATGAATACGAATTATACCAGCTGCAAAATTTAAGAATAAAAATAGAAATTAATTTGATTTAATTCTATCTTCATCTTTTAACATTTAGTGCTTGGAAATCACCTTTTTGCCAAATGAATTCATCTTCATTTCACTTTAAAAAGTGGTTCCTCCTCATCCATTACTAATGTACTAAAAATTTGAACTTCAATATAAATTTCAATGATCTCATAAAGAATCAATGTATAATAATGTAAGTTCAAAGTTCAATTAGAGAAAGCAAAAAAATGAAGAAGGCAAAATGACCAAAAAAAGATGCTAAATCTTTTCTCAATTTATTGACTATTCAAGTCTAAATTTCCTTTTAAAAGATTTAATATAAAAAAAATGAAGTGCAAAAATTGGGCACAATTTTGAAATGGCACTTGAAATGGAATAAAAAAGATAGAATAAAAATTTAATGATACCTGACAAGAATCGTCCCATATCAGCAATAGTGACAAGTATCAATGGAATACCTAACAATGCGTACATAAGACATGCTATGCGACCTTCATTTGTTCGCGGCACTATATGTCCATAACCTTAATTCAAATTCAGAAAATTTAAGCCTAAACTTTCCAAGAATATAATGTGCTTTATTTAAAGCTTACGATGAAGATAGCATTTGATATAAAATTTCAAGGAGGATTTAAATTGCTGGACCAAGTGGAAATGGCAAGAGCAAAATTTAGCTCCCAAATATGTTCTCATATTTAGATTGCTATTAAATTGAAACTAATAATCAATTTAATGCTGCATAAAATCATATTACAAGCACAAATGAACACAGTGAAATTTTATGGATAAAAGTTATTATGAAAATAAAAATTCAATAGATCAGCATGCTAGAAATCTTTCAAATGGAAAAAAATTATATCAATTACTCGATCAGAACCGCATCCATTCAGCCCATTACCTTTCATAGTTTCAGATTCTAAGGAGGAAATTGTAATCCATTAAATTTCACATTCGCATCAATTTAAATTTGTGAAAAATTTTTTGGATAAAATGGACATTACATTTTAAGAGTCAAATCTATTTTGTTTCGGTGTTATTCGAAGTATTACCTATCGATTGCTTTTATGTTTTTGTGTTAGTTGCAGAAAAAGTTGTAAAATGAGCTTCTCTCACACATGTACATTTTAGAAGCAAAAATGTACTCGAAAATATAAATGAAACGATTGAAGTTTTATTTATGAAGCAACTTTTACCAATGGTTGTAATAGCAGTCCATGAAAAAAACACGCTTGAACCGAATGACCATTTCACTGGTCCAGCACCTTTGATTATATCATCGGGTGTCATGTAATTCTTCGTATAATCAATAAATACATCACGGATCACATCATTAATACTGCAAATACCCAACCTGATAATTGTGAAATTTCGAAATTAAGTTTAATACGATGATACAATTATTTCTTTGATCAATTTAGCAATGTAATATGCAAAATCAAAGTGATTAATCACAAGAAAATTTTAGTCTCAGAACTCTTTTTTTTCTTTTGCTCAAAATTTATTTTCTTCAAGTTATCAATCTTCTAAAATTAGAAAAATTTAATGTTTGTATATTACGTTCATATAGTTTTACGCAAACACAAATGATGAGCGCTATTCCTAGGCTAATATAACTTTAGATACACATTGCCGTCAATTATTTTTGATATGGAAAATTATTTTGCTCTTCATGACAACCTGTTCAATATGCAATCTTCAATTTCTTTTGAATTTTTTATCATTCCAAAAAAGGTGTGAAATCTTCATTGTTTCACTCTCACGTAAAATGTCTCCGGAAGAAAACAAAGATCCAAAATTTTTAAATTGATATTTTTCAAGTTCATTTCAACAAAATTTTTTAGGATACAAAATTCTCTAAAATGAAATATTCATTTTCTTCAGGCCATTAAAACTTTCTAAAAGAAAATTTCGCTTTGAAAAATATTAAATTATTCTGCACTCTCAAGCAAATTTTTTGCCTTTTACATATAAAAACAATAAAGGAACGAACCCAAGATGTGCGGTATTTGACCAAGTTTCAAATGTCACCTCTCCAGTATTGTTTCGCATATGTATTAGCATCCATAAATTATCGATAATTTTTTGTTTTAAGACTTCAATTCGATGGGCGGTCTCATTACGAATATGTACTTCGTATGGCATTTCAAACTGATAATAGTATTTCAAACTAATTCACTAATTTAAATTTGATAAGGTCATGATAGTTTCAAGATAAAAATTATCAATGAATAATGAAAAAAAATCTATCTAATCAGTCTAATAATCTATTTAATAAATAAGTAGTGAAGAAAATTGAATCATAAACGAACATGATGAAAGATAGCGGCACCGAGAATTGTATAGGCTGCCGAGAGAAGTACAAGGCCAATATGTGGAAGCACTATACGTAATTTCTATAATGTAATTAATTCATTTTATATTTACAGTCTAATAAGCGAATGGTTAAGAAGTTGACCTTTGCAATCTTTCTCTCTTCGAAAATTCATATCTACCATATAATTATAATAATACTGCTAGAAATTCATGTGGTACCAAATCAGCAAATTATCGTTAAATCTCTGAGAATCAAAATGTTTGAATTGGAAACTCGATGTATAAGAAAACAAATAAGAAGAAAGCAGAACCTGTCGTATTTGATTTTTGTGTGTTTTGATCGCGAAATTAGTTGGCCTTCTTTCATCAATTTGTTCCAAAATTCGACCTTCTCCATCTTGTTGTCCTATCAAAAAATTCAGACGCTCGGCACTGTAAATGAGAATCCATTAAATTTTGTTTTTCAACTTAAAGAAACCTCCTTGAACATCTCTTTGTTTTCTTATATCTCTTTGATTAAAAAAAAATTGCAATAATAAAATGCATAAAGTTCAATTTTTGTCATAATTCAAACCAATGATTCTTTATTAATTAGTAATCAAAAGTATCACAAAAACTATTCCTCAGAAATTCTGCTAAGCAATGATTGATGTTATCGGAATTTTTTAATCGATTGTATTTTCATTAGAATTCTGAGCAATTCATAATTCTTCTCGTATCAGCAAGATTTTTCATTTGCCTCGTTACTCTCTCTTAAATTTTCACGAAACACAAACGTAATTAATTATTATTAATAATTATGTATGGAGTTCGTCGTATAGCAATTCTAATTGAAAGTTAGCACAATAGTTGATCAAAGTTAATCAGTGAATATGATAAATAAACGGATGAAATTTATGAAGGCCATGTCTGCCCTTCTCAATATTGATAAATTTATGATTATTATTGTGCAATATTTCAAAAATCGGTGATATATTATTTTTTGCTCTCAATACTTTTTTAAAGAAAGAATCAAAAAAAGTAAATGTTGATAAGAAGATAGGGAGAAGAGATATGGAAAATAAATAAACTTGCCATATCTGCCCTTTTTGATATTGATAAATTCGTCCATTTCTCAATAAAATACGTGCCTGTCTAAGTACAGACATAATACGGAACAATCTTATTCAATTTTCAGGCCTATACTTAAAAGCTCTCACGTACTGCTCTTCCATTTTCAAATAGTGCATTTCGGAATGCACTATTTGCATTTGGGGGAAGAAAAATAAAATTATAGTTGTAGTTTTGTATTATATCAAAAGCAACCGTTAATTCCTTATATTAATTATTAAAAATGTTTCATCCAAAAATTTATCGCTGTCTTTCATTCAAAATTAACTCTGTATTCGACTATATAAAAATATTCACATAACCAAAATATCGTTGTATTCGTGAAATCTATATTATAGAAATCTTTTGTCTCAAATATTTTCAATCAAATGATTTGATATGCTTTGTTTAATATCTCAATTCATTATTCTAAAGAATACTGTAAATGATTTACATTAAATAACAATCCCCTCTTTACCATTGTCATTATC